AAGGTATTAAATACGACTTTATCATCCCGCCCTCAGTATAACAAGATTTCATAGCCTGATGCTTACGCTCCAAACAGAAATCTGACCCCTCATTCGATGTTCGCATCAGAGCTTCATCAGATGAAGACTTTGCAGTTACGCTGGGCGTGGTGATGACTGCTACGTACCCCAGAAGCCCGCCGCTGCTAATACTGAAGAACACTGGCGACCTTCGCGAGGTCACTCTGTTCAAACTTCAGAAGTACCTCGAGACAGAGCCCAAGATATTTGCTACCGAGGAGCAGGAGATGGTGGACCGTATCGTAGAGGGACTCAGAGACGTTCTCGAAGACGCGGCCCAGGCAAAGGCGAAGGGTCTCGAGCTGCCTTCGCTGGAAGAGGAGAGAGCGGCTCACGAGGCCTCGCTGGCTAAATTGGCTGAGGAACAGAGACAGGCAGAGGAGCGCAAGAAGGAAGAGGAAAGCAAGGAGGAGGAGAGGGTTCTCGGTGGCTTGTTGCAGGTTGAATTGAAGCGTCAGAAAGAGAAAGCCAAGGAGACACGAAAAAAGAATCGCCCCAACGGAGGATTACCATCTCTCAACACAACGGACGGTCCCAACTGGCCCGAAAGTGGCCGTATCATCTTTGACAGACCTTGCCAGACCACCGACAAGACTGGGAATGCCATTTCCTTCCAGGCTGTCTTTGGAAAGTCCGAGATTGCCAAAGGTCCCGTCTCAACCGTCTTCTCCGTCTGGCCTCTCGTTAGCAGTGGACAAGAATGCCCCAACTTAGCGCTCAAGGAGACCACTCTTCGCCCGGCTTCAAAGGACACTTCGGTTTTCAAGAAGCAAATTCAGTCACTGGAGGGTCAGCTGGAAGCGCTCAAACAGGTGCGTCATCGCAACTTGCTCGAGGTCTTGGATTTCAAGGTAGAGCGCGAGAAAAACAATGTCGAAAAAGCGTCAGCAAGCCTCTGGACTGTCAATGTCCTTACCCCAAGTGCAGAGAAGGGATCATTAGCCGAGCTACTCGACTTGGCGGGCCAGTTGGACACCAGCAAAGTGCGCGCCTGGACACGGGATCTCTTGGATGCTCTGAACTTCCTGCACAACAAGTCTCTGGTGCATCAGGATATCCATGCAGGGAACGTGCTGCTCTTCCGGGAACAGACAGGAGAAGTCGTGCCGAAGTTGTCAGACGCAGGCTACCAGAGGGAGTTACATAACCTCTCCTTGAAGGGACAGGCGCCAATTGGGTTGAGCTCCGCAAAGTCTGCATACTGGCTGCCGCCAGAGACTGCAGCCTTATCGAAGCAGCATTATACACAAAAGACGGACATGTGGGAGTTTGGCATCGTTTTTCTTCAAATGATATTTGGACTTGACGTGCCTCAAAAATACCACTCACCCTCTGCTGTCTCGGACTCCATGTCTCTATCGCGGCCCTTACAGGAGTTGGTGACCAGATTCTTCAAGCCAGACCCCAAGAAACGACCACGTGCTTTCGAACTCGGCTCCAGCGAGTTCCTCGCCACCGACGCCCCTGTGATCGTCGAGGATACCGCGTCTATTGCGTCAAACTATCACTCCGTAAACACACTATCACCTATACCACCGAGATTGAGACGCGAGTCAACGAATAGAACTCTCACTTCGTCGAGATACCGGGAGGACTTTGACGAGGAAGGTCGTCTTGGTAAGGGAGGATTCGGCGAGGTCGTCAAAGCTCGGAAGAAACTGGACGGGCAGATTTACGCTATCAAGAAGATCAGCCAAAGATCTCAAGCAAGTCTGACAGAAATTCTGAAAGAAGTTCGTCTACTATCGCAGCTTAGTCACCCGGCTGTGGTGCGCTACTATAACACTTGGGTCGAGGAAATACCGGATCAGTCTGATACAGAGGGTGATACATCCACGGAAGACCTGAATACCGAAGACTCTCGCGATACCATTTCTCAGGACCCGGCAATACATTTTGCAACCAGCACCGGCGGCCTCGACTTCATGTCTTCGAGCGGCTACCCGCAAGTCGAATTTGGCTACGATGATTCGGACGCTGAGGAAGAATCTGAAGAAGATGAGGAAGACGATGAAGAGGGTTCCGAGGATGAAACCGACTCAGATGACGACAACAGCAGTCAGGCTGTCGGAAACGGCCCGAGGAGTAGGGAAATTCAAAGAAGGATTAAGCTCCAGCGGTCTTTCAGAACTGTCTTGTACATTTCCATGGAGTACTGCGAAAAGAGGGTGAGTGTCTATACCGCACAGTATACCCTGCCAGCAAAACCATTAACGAGACTGACAACAATAGACGTTACGTGATCTGATCACTCGAAAACTCTACCAAAACACGCCGGAAATATGGCGTCTTTTCCGTCAGGTTCTCGAAGGCCTGGCCCATATCCACGGTCTTAGTATCGTCCATCGAGATCTTAAGCCTGAAAATATCTTTATTGCTCACAGCAGTGATGGAACGGACAACGTCAAGATCGGAGACTTTGGATTGGCTACTAGCGGCCAATTTGCCGTCGACAGGGCTCTTCCTAATGCCATGGAGTCGGACGATATTACCAGGAGTATCGGGACTACGTCGTATGCCGCACCGGAAGTGCGCTCCGGGTCTAGCGGAATGTACAGCTCCAAAGTGGACGTAAGTTTCTCGCGCAAACTATTTGTCATGTTTTAGGTATCATGTTGCTGACCGTATTCAGATGTACTCTCTGGGCATTATCTTCTTCGAGATGTGTTATCCCCCGATGCTGGGCATGCAAAGAGCAGAAGTTCTCGAGAAGCTCCGGCGACCGAGTCCCGAACTACCTGTGGATTTCAAGCCTGCCGAAAAGATACAGACGGATATTGTCCTGTCTCTGATCACCCATAATCCCAAAGAAAGGCCATCAAGTGCAGAATTACTGCAAAGCGGGAAACTTCCCGTGCAAATGGAAAGCGAGACGATCAGACGAACATTAGCTGGTCTAGCTGACCCTAGCTCGCCTTACTACAAGAAGATGCTTTCAACGCTTTTCTCACGACCCCTGGAGCAAGCTAAAGATTACGCTTGGGACATGCATGAGGCGAGCCCCAGCCAGGCAGACTTACTTAACCAGAGCATCGTCAAGGAAACGCTGATTTCCATATTTCGCCGACACGGAGCTCTGGAGTGTCAGCGCACCTGCCTCTACCCGCGTTCATCCCACTATGCAGAGAACGTCATGAGACTCCTGGATTCGAACGGCACCGTCCTGCAACTGCCATTTGACCTCACAATGGGCCACGCAAGAATGCTTGCCAAAGCCAGCGGAACCCCTGGCGTCCAGCGCACATTCACTTTTGGCAATATTTTCCGTGATAAGGGGGATACTGGGCAACCCTATATGCTGGGCGAAGTTGACTTTGACATTGTCACGACCACCACCCTTGACATGGCTCTGAAGGAGGCCGAGGTCCTCAAAGTACTCGACGAAATCATTGCCACGTTCCCGTCACTATCTACGAGCCAGATGTGTTTTCATCTAGGACATTCCGACTTGCTGCAGCTAATATTTGACTACTGTCGCGTCGAGCATAGCTCTCGAAGGGCTGTGGCAGATGTACTCAGCAAGCTCAATATCCACCACTGGTCCTGGCAGAAGATCAGGGCCCAGCTGCGTTCTCCCCTAGTAGGCCTTTCGGCAACCAGTGTCGATGAGTTACAACGATTTGACTTCCGAGGTTTGTCAGCTTCTTTTTCTTCTGCATTGAGTCACATGCTAATAGGGTTCAGATACGCCGTCCAAGGCCTTCTCCAAGCTCAAGATACTCTTTGAAGGCACTGACATGTATCAGCGAGCCTCGTCAACTTTGGCGCATTTGAGAGAGGTCTCGGAGTATGCCAAGCGACTTGGAGTCACAAGCAAGATCTATGTCACGCCATTGAACAGTCTGAAAGAAAGCTTCTACACCGGCGGCACTCTATTCTCCTGCCTCTACGACAAGAAGATGAAGGATGTGTTTGCCGCAGGTGGCCGGTACGACAGCCTCATCAGAGAAAATCGTCCTAGAATTGGCAGCCATTACGAAGAGCGCCACGCCGTCGGCTTCAACTTATCGTGGGAGAAGCTTTCTAGGGCCCCCAAAACGAGCGGGAAAGCATTCCTCAAAAAGTCGGAAGAAGAGGGTCATAACATGTTTAGCAGCACGAAGAGAGTAGGTCATTGATTTTTCTTAGGTTTGGTCCGGCTACTCACCACAACTCACAGTGCGACGCCCTCGTGGCCAGTTTCGACGCTGCCGTCCTGCGCTCTACGGGAATAGAGATCCTGCAGACGCTGTGGTCGCACAACATCAGCGCCGAGCTCGCGAGGGATGCGCGGTCTCCAGAAGACCTGCTCTCTCGCAACCGTGACGAGGGCTACTCCTGGGTCATCATCATCAAGCAAGACGCCATCCTCAAGGTGAAAACGATGGACAAGAAGGACACGCCTGACGTCGACATACCCATGGCGCAGCTTCTCTCGTGGCTGCGCGCCGAGATCCGGGAGCGCGACTCCAAGGAGTCCAAGTCGGCGGCGGTCAAGTCGAGGGCCGGTGGCGGCGGGCAGCAGGCAGAGACCAACGCGACGATGGAGACGCAGCACCACCAGGAGCAGGACGTGCGGGTGCTGGTGGCGGGGACGCGCAGCAAAAAGTTCAATCGCAGGACAGTCGTGGAACAGGCGCAGGTGAGCGCGGCGAGCCTGGTGCGGTCGTTCCTCGACGGGCCGATCCTGGCCATCGAGACGACGGATCAGGTGATGGACCTCATCCGGGACACGTGCCTGTCGGACGGAGAGAGCTGGCGGCGGGTGGAGCACAGCGTCACGACGGCGGAGAAGAAGTACGTGCGGGAGATTCACGACATGTTGCTAAATTGGAAGTGGGCGTGGGAGAAGAAGAGCGGTAGCGGCGGTAGCCGGCACGCGTTTTTATACAACTTCCGGACTGGAAATTGCGTCTACTATGATTTGGGAGCATAGTCTGATGGATGAGGAAGATGGGGTGAGCTTGTAGCTTACTGCTCCAAGAAACGGATGGATAAAGAAATGAACAACCTATCGAGGCTCATTCGTTTTGTCCCTTTTTTCCTCTTCTGTCCTTCTTCTAGGTTTCTTTTACCATGGCTAACGAGAAAGCGTACTCGAAGCACCAATCTCGCTCGAGTCTGCTCAAAGACCATCTCTTGGTGCAGGTTGTGGCAGTTGGTGGTCGTAACAAGACCAACACAATGAAAGGTGAAGCAGGGGTCCGATGCCGGGGCGGTGACTTGTGACGTGGGTTTCTGCGAGTTTGCATGGCTGGGTCGGGACGATCGGACCAAGGAGCATTGGGTTTATCTGGGGTTCGACTTGGTTTACCTACATACTGTGACGCCTTTTTTGCGACAAACGGAGTAGGCAATAGGGATTTACGTGCCGGGTCGTTATGCGAGGACAAAGGCTCCCGGTCAGGTACCGAAACGGAGGTACTTTGGAGCGTTCGATCAGTTGATGTCCAACCTGTACGGATACCTTGATGGCAGATGATGGAGTCTGGATGAGGTATCATGACGGGCCTTCAAGAGCCCTCAATTTGCAAGACATGGGTTTCTTAGTCATCTCGGGCAGTCTTTTGGGAACAATGCGGCAGATGGATACTCGAGAGTCGAGGGGATCAAGATACTGCGACATGGTGTAAGTGCTGTGCTGGTACCTGACGTGGTGACAGGCTGAAATGCACAGACAACAAAAAGAAACCTGGCAGTGCCTGTGAGGTGCATGGCGAGTCCGGACCACCCCTTTGCAGTTCCCAAGTGTGTTGTTGGCTTTGAGTTGAAGACTGGAGGTGGCGGAGGCGAGGTCGAATAAGCACACGCAAAGATGACACAGTAATGTTGCTGGCAGAATAGACAAGAGATTCTCCGTTGTGAAGGGAAGGCCTTGTTGGTGGCGGCGTGTTTGGCTGACTGACTGACCTGGTGATGTGACCTTTGCTTACATTACCTTATTGTATGAATACTACGCAAGGTCCTCGAGTGTCCAGGGACAATAAGACAGGGGGCAAAGGCAAAGGCACCCGACAGCGGCAGACAAGGAGTGCTTCGCAAGGTACCTTATGGTACGGGTAGGGCCAAGGACAGGCGACGGCTCTGAAGCTGGCCACGGATCCGAGACACTGCGTGACCTCCTTGAGGAGTCTAGCCATCTCGGGTGGTCCCTGGGGTCCCATGGTTCCCAAATCGTCCAGGCAGGGCAGTTTCCGGTCTACCTTACCTCATGGCAGGGAACCTTGATAAATCGCAAAGGGGGCCACCTCAGACCTGACTGGAATTGCTGCTTTCTTAATTTGAGACTATTTCTTTGCATCGCGACTTCCCCGTTGTTCAGCTTTGTCCCTGAAAGCCCTCTTCTTTCTCTCACGAAGCACACAGCATAAAATATCTCTCCCTGGACCAGACCTTACCGCCACTCCATTCCCGTCTCATACTCTTACACACCCGAATCCCTCCACCCACCAGACAAGCCCAAGGTCTTCACACTTACGGGTCGGTCCTCCCGTCTCCCTTTATCTTATCGCCTGCCGCCCCCTCCGAGTCAGTTCGGTGGTTTATCGAGTCATCCCCTTTCGCCCCTCCATACCCTCCATCCCACCTCATCGTCGCTTCCTTTCTTTGGTCACACGCCTCTTGTGAGAACTTGCGGTGCGCCTTCTTCACTGCCCACCCACACGAGTGCCCTTTTTTTTCTACTGCTGCTCGTGCACACAATTGCATACTTGGATCATATCATACTCAGACATCTTCTTCCCGGTGACAAATCGATCTCATCGCTCCAACCTCATCCCACTGCCTCACTACGAAGTGCTTCTCCCCCGCATACTACCCACCGCCACCTCACCGTTACAAATACTCCAACATCATGGCGCAGAAGCGATTGATGAGTGAATATCAGACCCTGCAGAAGGAGAAATGGGTTCACATTGATGTCGACGAGCGGAATGTCTTGAACTGGAAGCTTGGCCTCATGGTCGTCAACCCCGACAGCGCCTTCAACGGAGGCTATCTGAAGGTTTGTTTGATCTTCCCCCAATACACTATGGAAGCATCTGGCTCACTGAACTTTTATAGGCTGAAATGACGTTCCCTCGAGACTACCCGTACCAGCCTCCCACCTTCCGCTTCCTCACCAAGAATATCTGCCACCCAAACATCTACACCGACGGCAAGCTCTGCATCTCTATCCTCCACACTCCCGGCGAAGACGAGCAGTCTGGCGAGCAGGCCTGCGAGCGTTGGTCTCCTCTGCAGGGCGTGGAGTCTGTCTTGCGTTCTGTCCTGCTCCTTCTGGACGACCCCGAAATCAACTCTCCAGCCAACGTCGACGCGAGCGTTCTCTACCGTGACAATCGTGCCGAGTACCAGAAGCGAGCGCAAGATACGGTCGCAAAGTCCAAGAAGGACATTCCCGAGGGCGTGGTCTTCCCCACAACCGCCGATCTGGAGCCTGTGCCTCAGAAGCCCATCGACGATGACGCCTTCTGGAACGAGACGGACGATGAGGGTGACTTTGATTTGGGCGGTAGCGATAGCGACTTCGACATGGACGAGTACAACGAGGACGATGAAGATGAGGATGCGGACGACGATAAGCCTTGAATCCAATCCTCGAAATGGGAATCGACCCAGCACACATTCACACTTTCCTGCTCCAACTTGAACCTGCTCGACTAAGAAAAGCAAACACTTCCCGGCAGGCGTTCTGACTTGGCGTTGGCGGCGGCGTTTGCGGTGGTCTCGTTTTCCATCTCTTACATTTTCTACATCTCTCTTCCTCTACACGCATGATGGTGCATAGCAATGGCCCCGGGCGTTTTACCGGCTGTCAGCACGGCCTGCTTAGGCTAACACGGCGTCTCGGTTTCTTTTACGGGTTTGGCATAATTCAATCTCTGAGGAGGGCTTCTGGGAAGGGCTTCCATACAGGGATACGGGAGTTCATATTTGGTTCTGCAAAAGCAGAGAAATCAGAAGGGGGCGGAATTCAATAGTTTGGTGGCTGATTGGCAAACCAAGCAGCCAGGACAGCGCATGAGATACCGCACATAGACCAATCGATCAATGACTTTACAACCGAGCAACTGCAGAGTGCGCCACCTCCAAAAAAAACTAGCAAAGCTCGATGACCAGAGAAAGTATGCCGTACCTTGTGCGGGTAAAAAGCAGAGCTTCCTGGACGTTCTCGGCCAATCTATTGTACCTTGATGTACTCTGGGTGTCTGGTCACTTTCCATTTGCCGCTTGTTGGCGCAACATTGCTCGCGACGTCTGGGCCGGCAGTGGCCGTCAACGTGCACGCCGTTCCCGATCCTTCAGCGCCGTAAGGGGTTTAAAGTGTAAACTTGCCCCGCTAACACCATCAGCATCCATGAGGGTTATCAATGACCTTTTCTTGATCTTTTACCAAGAACTCCTAGTAGCTGGTCACCATTAATATAATAGCTATTGCCAAATGATCTCGAATATTCTGAGTAATGAAATTCACTGGAGAGTTTATGTACATATTTGCTTCCCAAAGTCTGGGTGCCTATGAGGGTAAAGCGTGTTGGAGACGGCAGATAGTGGGGAAGTGTCTTTGTGCCGCTGCTACCTTGAGACGCACTGTCCATGAGAGCAATCGGCAGGACAGACAGCTCATGGGGCTTTCCCAGCACGGGTCTACGTACTTGCATCCAATGCCACTTCCACTTCTCTGAGGTACCAAATCGAACGAGAGGTGTCCCGACCACATCTGACGACAAGACGAACGGAGTCAGATTGCAAGTCCGCTGGCACTGCTTTCTCCCGTGCTGTTGCTAAGTGCTACCTTCCGACCTTTCTTCCGCACCCCTACGGACAGCATCACGCCTAGACCGGGTCGCCTCTACAGCACATTGGGTCCTTTCCGTTTGACACTACCTACTCCCCCGAGCCTCTCTCTGGCAAAGCTACATGCGCCAGGCCACCTGCAACCCCAGCCCGTCTTTCTCGATAGTCATGCGTAACTACCCTCGATCCTTCCACCTCCATCGCTTCTAATCGACCCATTCGTAACGATTCGAATCGAAAACATAATACTTGTCTGAGGGGTGGCTCTACAATATGGCGCCCGAACCCACGGCTCAGGATGTGGACAACTTCCTGGAGTTCTCAGGCCTAGACCCCTCTAGAGACCGCAATATCGTCATTACAGCACTCAAGGTGAGAAGACTGCGGCTTATGAACAAGCGCGATGCTCTTTCTGCTGACAGGAGGGCTGACGTGGGGTACAGAGCAACAGCAATCGGGATGAGCTTGCGTCAGAGGTCTTGATAGACGGAGTCGAAGTAGTTCGTCGTGCCCGGTCAAAGAGCTCTTCATCGCAGCTAATAGGACCCCCAGTTCCGGAGAAAGTATACATGGGACGACACAGCATTTGGAGCCAGTCGTGACGGGGAGCCGAATCACACGGGTATAGGTGCGTTTGGTCTTACGCTCCAGCAGCTGGAGACATTGTGTTGCTGACTTTTGCTGGCCAGCTTTCAACATCGAAGCCCCCGACAATGCCGTCATACAAGGCGTTACCCCTCCACCCGACAACGGCTTCTACGGACCTCCCGCAGGTGCTCCCTCACGACCTCCATCGAGAACAAACAACCGATCGCCGCTTGGTAGGATGATTGACTGGACGACCGGGGACCTTTCCGGTACTGCCTTCCCTGTTGTGTGGGGCTTTGGCTGACCATGGACGATAGGAGCCCCCAGTACTGCTGCGCAAGAAGAGGACGATTATAACAGGGCCATTCGAGACTCCCAGCGAGACGCAGACTACATACCTCAGGAAGCCGGCGTCACGGGCGGAAACGCCAACGCCCCGCACTTTGGACCTGCCAACAGGTCTGACTACGACTCGAACAGCTGGGCTATGGTGACGACCGCAACGAGCTCGTATCAAACGACAGTCGACGACGACCCCGCCCCTTCTGCAAGGAAGCGAGAGGATGACGCCCCGGCGTTCCTTGTGCAGAGAACGACAGCACGCACATCTAAGCACCATCTGGATTCCGTATTGACGATTCTGCATGAGATTCCACTTGCACGCAATATTCTACTGCGGGGTGGTGAACAAGCCGCCAGCTATGGCCACAATAGCGAATGGTGGAAAGGTCAACCAATTTATGCCCCTCACGTCCTAGCCGCCATGAACCAAGGCGACCTCCAGTGGGCCGACGACACGAAGCCGGACTTTCATGAGGAGATTCACCGTCTGATGGCCTTTTTGGACCTGACTGAGAGAAGCTACGGTTCTGTCGATTCCATGGCCGATCTAGTTCCCAAAACCAACTTCGCTACCGAGAGACAGTTCTTTGATACCCTCGTCGAGAAGACCGATGCCGACGTCATTAAGCCCTTGACGCACCTAGCATGCCCCATGTCTACAGACACCTTGGAGAGGACCCAAGACCCACACAGATTTGCGTTTTTGAACTTTGAGTTAACGAAGAGTCAATACGAGAAGACGACATCTCTGTACGAAGCTTGGAACTGGATTGTGTGGCACGATGTCATGACGTGGCTGGAGCTCAATGCGGATACCGGAATGGTTGTTCTCGATGACATGGGCGAGGTCATGACAGTCGTTATCGATGGCGATGGCACACCCGATAAGCTCGACATCCCCGAAGTGTGGTACCCAGAGCGCTATCTCGAGAGCCGGAAGGAAGAGGCAAAGGTCTGCCAGGAACACCTTGCGTGGGTGCACAGGATGCTCTACGAGGCCGAATCCAAGGAGTTCGAGCTCACTAAGTGGATTGATCCGAAAACTGACAAGGTCCATAACAAGGAGGAAATGCTGGAGAAGACAATCAAGGAGTATGAGAGTCACGTCAACTATCTAGACGGCCTGGGACGGTTCAGAGAGCTGCGAAAGTCAGACGACGATGAGCAAGGCAACCTCCGTCTGGAAGACGTGCCGTGCGTCTTGTCTAAAGGCGAAGAGGAGCTTTTCAAGAGCTCGCGAAAGGTGCTCCAGCGATGCAAGTGGCAGCTTGCTCAAGTTAGAGAAAAGCAACAGAGTACGTCGAGCCCAATATTTACCCTATGTTTGTCGGTCACTAATCATGAAAGCAGAACTTAAGTGGGAACGGGAGAGGCTTGAGGAAAGGAAGCAGTATCTAAACACTATACTGACTGACCCCGACAAGCCAGGCTTGAGCAAGCCTTTCACTGGCAAGAAGTACCTCTTGAGGGGAATAGCAACACAGCAGAACGTGACATATGTCTGCAAGCGAGCCGAGCCGTCACTCATTGACATTGATGAGGCGCCGACTTCGATAGACCAGTGGTGGCGGCTGTCGTATAGTGCGAAGCAATACGCAAAGGCCGAGGTACGCGAAGCTGCAACGTTTTCCCCTTGGAACTAACTTGGATGCTGACTTGTTACAGAAATACACCTTCCAACAGGTGGTTGACGCAATCTACTTTGAGACTAAGAACCCGTTGCTCGTGTATGCTACAGAAGACGCAATCAACACGCCCGTGGCACCTCTTTCAGACGCCCTTTTACGGTTCGCAAAGGCCGAGAACAAGATCTTCAGACAAGAATTGAACCAGGAAACCACGGAGGAAGTGGCCAACTTGAGAAACACAAACATGTCGCCAATTTCGCCATCCAAGAGGAAATACCGGTCGGGCAGCGTCGACTCCATGGCAACCAACCGAGCTTCATTGGGCAACAGCGATACAAACTCGCGCGCCGGGGATTTTGAGACGGATCCGTTCGGCGACGGAGACGGCATAACGGACACGGAAATGACGGACCTATCGACCAGGCAAGGCAACACAGAGACACAAAACTCGGGTCTAGCCCAGGTCATGTACTCTAGTGAGACGCGAGACAAGGCACAAGGAGGTTACGACGTCAACGGGCCCGGCATCGGACAGGACGGACTTTCGACCAGTGCTCCCGCTGACGACGGCACAGAGATTAGTCGTACAGTGACGCCAGACGTAGATGTGGAAGAGCCGGCCAAGGGGCCCGAGATGCAGGAACGAAGCGGAAGCGGTGCCGGATCGCCATTCATGGCTAGACACTCGATTTATGGAACGGCACACGACCCCAGAGATGAGCAAAAGACGATCAAAATGATGGATATGGAAATTCCCGACGAGCATCAGTAGCTATGGGCACTAGAGAGCATCATAGGGGGGGAGTTTGGTGTACACAGTAAGACTCGCAAAGGCATAGCGATATAAGCAAAGTTTCGAGAGGCATCAAATGCAGCAAGCATCTTTTGCTTCTTGAAGGCTCTACAGCACAGCACAGCGCAACACGGCATTGCCATGGTATGATGATGTATTATGCAATAGGCTATGAGATTATCAATCATTGGATACCCCATTGGCTCAGTTGATTTTACCCAAGCATGCGTACCTACTATGTACCGAAACACCAAAGATCGATATTATCATTAGAAACTTGTACTGTGTATGTCGGATAATTGCGTAGAAGGTTCTCGAAGCTTCTTATTCAACTAGGAGAATCGAGAGACGTTGCAGGGATATGGTGGCTTGAAGCGGCGCTCGAGCCACGGCATGAGCTTGACTCCGCTATTCCCGCACGGCAAGAGACCCCGCCATTTTCGTCATTGTCCATTTGCGACTGCTTCCCTGCTGCCCAACGAGGTCTCTTGTCGATGATGCTCATCTGGAATGAAGGATAATATGAACATATCTCAGGACCCCGTGTATTTAAGACTGGATAAGTACTATCTAAATGTAGAGGATTGTATGGATACTTTTGTGATCAGACAACCTCGAGAGCAAAGGTCTGACTAGACGAGCCCCATCCAGCCTTTCTGTGTGATCAGACAACCTCGAGAGCAAAGGTCTGACTAGACGAGCCCCATCCAGCCTTTCTGCGCTCTTCCATCGAGGCAGTTCGAGTGAGATCACCCGATTCGACGCCCCGCCAGGTTTTGGGTCGCAAAGTCGCACGGGGATGGGGGGTGTGGTGGTCAAGGCTCCCCCTCCTTCCTACCTTCCTCCCTCCACTCCCGTCCTCTCAGGCTCTGCCTTCCCACCCCCCCTGCTCTTTTGGGGCTGGGCTCCTCTGAGAGACGGGCACCGAACCTTCCACAATCGCGCCCTGTTTCTTCCATTGAAGACGGCCGGGGGTCCTTTTCTACCACTAGACGCTCTGGGCTACCCTCGGTGACCCAGTCTTTCTTGGCTTTTTACCTTGCGCAGTAAGGACCAACTTTACCTTACGTAGAGGTACATATCACGCACCGAGACCCAGACAGTCGGCTGCATCATCCAACCATTCTCTCCAATTCTTCTCTTCTTTAAAACCTACCAACCTTTTTTTTTTTCTTTTGCTATTCACTACCTACACGCACGTCGATTGACTGCGCAAGCAAAGCAACTTTAAAGGGTTCAGACATACAACCACCCCAAGTAACACACGAAAAGACACAACATCAGCGAACACAGGCCACACTTTCGCTGCGATATCCACACTACTTTTACCCCTCCGTTTAATTGACTGGTCGACTTTTACACGACAATCACGCGACAGTCTCAAACCATGGTGAAAGAAACCAAGCTGTACGATCAGCTGGGCGTCAAACCCACGGCGACGCAAGATGAAATCAAAAAGGGCTATCGGTAAGTCGTAACAGCTTTCCCTAAAACTTGTCTTTACCTTAACCCTCTCCGCCCCTCACTTATCTCCCGCCCGTCGTTGCCCAACGGCGTGGCCCAATCGCCCTATTTGCCTCTCCACACGGCCATATCAGACCGTAGTATGCTAACCATCTCACGTGTATAGGAAATCTGCACTAAAGTGGCACCCCGACAAGAACAAGGATAACCCAGACGCCGCCGAAAAGTTCAAAGAGTGCTCCCAAGCCTACGAGATCCTTTCCGATCCCGAGAAGCGCAAGACGTACGATGACTACGGTCTCGAATTCCTGCTCCGCGGAGGCGGCGCCCCTCCCCCAGATGCCGGTGGCGCCAACCCCTTCGCTGGAGGCGGCATGCCTGGTGGCTTCGACTTTGGAGGAGGAGGCATGCCCGCCGGCGGCGGTGCACGCACATTCCGCTTCAGCACAGGCGGAGGCGGCAACGGGTTCAACTTCAGCTCGGCGGATGACGTGTTTGCCGAGTTCATGCGCTCTGGTGCTGGCGGTATGGGCGGTGGCGGCGGCGGCGGCGGCGCGGGCGGCATGGACGACTTCTCCGACATCTTCTCGACGTTTGGCGGTGCCGGTGGCCCGCGCGGTAGCAGATCATCGCGCATGCGCAGCAGCGGGTTCGGCGACTCGCGGGGGGCGAGGGAAGCGACACCCGAGGTCACGACGGTGGAGCGGCCTCTCCCGCTCACGTTGGAGGAGCTGTTCCGTGGCGTGACGAAGAAGATGAAGATCAAGCGCAAGACCTTTGACGACACGGGCAAGAGGACGACGACTGATACGGTTCTCGAGGTGCCCATCAAGCCAGGTCTGAAGAAGGGTAGCAAGATCAAGTTCAAGGGTGTTGGCGACCAGGAAGAGGGCGGCCAGCAGGACCTGCACTTCATCTTGGAAGAGGTACGTTCACATAGTCCCGGTGCGAAAACTCGAGAGACGTGGCAATACTAACAACTACTATAGAAAGCTCACCCGCTATTTGTGCGCGAAGACAACGACCTGGTACACACCGTCGAGCTGGACCTAAAGGAGGCCCTCACGGGGTGGAAGCGGACGGTGACGACGATCGACGGCAAGCAGCTGAACCTCGATAAGAACGGCCCCACACAGCCTGGCAGCTCCGATCGGTATCCCGGCCTGGGTATGCCCATTTCGAAGAAGCCCGGAACGAGGGGTGACTTTGTCATCAAGTACAACGTCAAGTTCCCCACGAGCTTAACGCCGGCACAGAAGCAGCAGTTGAAGGAGATCCTGTAAAGGGAACTCAGGAGTGAGGGAGAGGAGGGGGGTGCAGAGACGATGCCAAGGCGACGCGGAAGTTGCGGCGGGGGTGTTAGACCGTAAACAACATGGTCTTTTGGTTTGGCTGGCCGGGTATGCTCATCATGAATAGGAGTTTGGGGCGTGGTTGGGTTCTCTGCTTTTGTAAAGCCACAAAGGGTTGGCCTTCTTTTCCTTTTTGCCTTGTGAGCATTGCGCATTTCATGAGCAGGCAACATGAACTGAGTTGCTGGTGGGGGGTGATGCCTGCGCAGAGGTACCTAGATATGAAATAATTGAAGCTTGAGATTAAATTGCTACGGATTCAATGCTTGTTGTGATGTGTGTGACTACAGACTGAGGGATGGCGTCCGGAAGTGACTTCTTTTTCAGTTGATGAGCTGCGACGACAGCCGCAATTGTGATGGGGAAGAGTTGTCGTGATAGAAGGGGTGAGCGGCGTACACAATGGCGCAAGAAGCCAACGCCCAGAGTTCAATATTGAGCTCTGAACAATGATACTTCAAAACCTGCAATACGTGGCATCTTGTTCTCTCAGATGGCTGGTAGTTCGTGATCAGGCTTCGGTGACGATATGACCACGACTAGACGGCTCAGTCGGGCATCTCGGGACCGAGAGGTGTTCCAGCCTCCCGTCATCTCGATTTTGTTGTGCTGGAGGTTCCCAGGTTCATCCGGCGTGCTGCATAGACCGAGCGAGCTGTATCCTTGCGGTGAGTGGGGTATGTCTAGCTGGCTACTGACTAGCTAGGTAGATATCTACTACATCTTGTGTAAGTAGGAAGCAAGCATATCAGAATATCAGGTACAATAGGTGACTTCTCTTCTATGATAACGTCTTCGACGTTTGGGAGTGTTCTCAAGCCCACGATTCGGGAAGCTATATCTCGCTCATCTTGTGATATCCAAAAATGGAGAGAGAGAGAGAAAGGACCTCGGCAGTAAGTCTGCTAGGTACGAGTGCGCCCCGTCTCCCTTCTCCAGTGATCAAGCCGCCCAAGCTTGATTTCTGTGCTGTACGGATATGCAAGACAGAGTATTTCGCGCAAGGTTAGGCAGGAGTGAAGATTTTCGCAGGCCCGTCTCCCCGCGTTCCCCGACCCTACGCTCGGCAGAACTCTGTTTCGCAGATGAGGCGCGGGTTCGGGAGGTCGGGATGATGGAGGGCGGGTGTTTATGCGGGGGGGTTGGAACCATGGCCTGATCGCGAAGAGTCTGTTTTTTTACCATCGTAATACCTACTCCTACAACAGCCTACCGGCATCAAGAAATGTAGGATTCCTGAATTGGATGTCAAAGCAGGTAAATGGCGCATCCATCCAGATTCGGTGGTTGATGTTGCCGGGGTTTCGCCGCGGTCTTCTTCACGGGCTTGAGTACATGGGCCATGTGGTGGTGTCTGCCTGTATGTACTCGACCCCGCGGTAATGACGACACTTCACATGCGGGAAATGGTGGGCGACGGGATGGGGACGCCCGTGGGTTTTGGAGGGGGAGGGGTAAAAGCGTTGGTGGGGGCCCCTCGTTCTAGGCACAATACCTAAGCAGCCCAGCATCGATGCAAGTGCTGTCGGGTAAGGTGTTGTAAGGCCATTTTTTCCCGCCAGAGCTGGTTCAGGTCCTACCTTAGTTCCCTTACTTGCGTGTTATTTTCCGCGGCTCTCATTGGACTTGTCGGGACGACGAAAATGAACAGCCGGCTTGTAGGATGAGGGGGAAAGGAAGCGGGCGCGGGCGCGGGAGAAAGAGGAAAAGAAAAGAGAGACCTTTTCGGTTTCCTGGGAGATAGAAGCGTTAGATACCTGAATGGAAGTCCTATTCTACCCTGATTCGCTTGGTAGCTCATTTCTTCTCCTTCTCTCCTACATGACAAGGTTCCCAGTTCTTCAAGTCCCCAGCTCAGCCAAGGTTTCTTTCTCAATTGGTCTCGGACAGTAAGCTTCGTCTACTTTATAGATAGCTTACCTGCTCCCCTCCCCTCCAGATTCAGCTCTCAGCTTCAGTGAACCCCGCTCTTCATAAGACAAGCTCTCCACCTCAAACCCGGAATAGCACCCGAGTCTTTTGTAAAGAACCGCCAACATGCCTCAAGTAAGTCGTGACGAGAGAGAGTCCCAATCCCGACCACCAATCTCGATAGAATGCAACTCGGCTCGACTAACATGTACTAACCACCCTCCAGATCACAACCCTCCTCTTCGACTGCGACAACACCCTCGTCCTCTCGGAGGAACTCGCCTTTGAGGCCTGCGCCGACCTCATCAACGAGATCTGCGCCTCCCGCAACATCGAGCAGCGCTTCACGGGCGAATCCCTCATCAAGGAGTTCGTCGGCCAAAACTTCCGCGGCATGCTCCTCGGCCTCGCCAAGTCCCACAACTTTGAGCTCCAACCCGACGAGCTCGAAAAGTACGTCACCCGCGAAGAGGACGCCGTCATCGCCAAGCTCAAAGCCGCACTCAAACCCTGCCCGGGCGTCGACGACCAGCTCGAGGCACTGCAAAAGGCCGGCAAACATACCCTGTCGGTCGTCTCCTCGTCCGCCAAGCGCCGCGTCTGGGCATCCGTCGTCAAGGTCGGGCAGGACAAGTACTTCCCCGAGGACGTCGTCTTCAGCGCCGCCACGTCGCTTCCCAAACCCACCAGCAAGCCCGATCCGGCCATCTACCTGCACGCCATGAAGACGCTCGGTAAGAAGCCCGAGGAGTGCGTCGCCATCGAGGACTCCAAGAGCGGGACGCTCAGTGGTACGCGCGCGGGGATCAAGGTGATTGGGTACGTCGGCCCCTACGCCGCCGACAAGCAGGCGGAGATGGAGAAGGTGTTGCGCGATGCCGGGGCCGTGGTCGTCATGAAGGACTGGAGCGAGTTCCCCGGCATGCTTGCCAAGATTGAGAGCGGGAGCGCCTGACTAGCCGGGGTTTCCATCCCGTCGCCTTCTCTGTGAGGTCGAGGCCGCGGCGATGTAGAGGGATCATGATTGCTTCCATCTCCCAACTGAAACTCCTTTATCTTTTTCCCCATTTTTACAGTGTTCATATCGTTAGCTAAGACCGGCAGTAATCCGGTTCCTAGAGGCGCTTCATCAAGCCAGCCCGCTCAGGGGAGAGGAGGAATCCAAGTAGACTCGAGACTAGTAAAGAGAGACCTTTTCATCTTCGGTGATCCATGAGAAAGCTGTTGACGCTCTGCAACGTAGCCCGATTCGCATTCGCCTCCGGAAAGGCCGTCATAATGGTCCCCAGCTTCACCCTGATCATGTCCTTGTTGAAAAACGTCGTCGAGTCCGCCACGCGAAACTTGCCGTCCCGGTCGAAGCACCAGCAGTAAATGGCCAGCGCGGCGCCAATGGATAGATCCTTGCCCGTCTCGCAGGCCACGAGGACGCTGCCGCGGCTGCTGCTGTCGCCCTCGGCGGCGCCCTCTACTATGTCGCGATGTGAGTCGAGGTACCGCGAGACAAAGGCGCAGATATCCGGCAGTGCCTGCCGGAGGTTGCGGCTCGCGATCTTGTGCTTCCCGAGCCCGACCTGCATGTACGTCGGAGATTTCACCCACGACTCCCTCGGCGTGACGTCCTGTGTGAGTACGACTCTGCACGCACCCGCGGACACAGCATCCGTTCCACCGCTGCTGCTGTCCCTTTCATCGTCCAGGGGTAACGGACACACGTAGATCCGCGGCGCAACTTTCTTCGGCTGCAACCCCATCGGCGCATTCCTCTTACCCTCCGCGACGAGACGAACAACCAGCTCCGGGAGATCGGCCTCGGGGCACGAGAGCAGCGCCGTAGCATTTTCCCAAAAGACTTCGGCCGTCAGACCGAGGGCCCAGTTCTCCGTGTCGTCGCCGGCGCCTTGGATGTACCCCGCCTCGCTCATCTCCGTGCCGGCGACGCGACGCGAGGAGGTGCAGCAGATGATGGGGTGGTAGTCTTCGAAAACCACATTCTTCAAGGACTCGTCGTCATCACCCGCAGACGTAGATGGAAGCTGCGTCTCCTGCGTGACCCAAAACGGGCGCAGGGGCTTAGAGACGTGCGAGCGGAGAGCCGCAAGGTCGAGGTCGAGGCTCTTGAGGGAAGCGAGGAAGGATGGAAGGAGGGCGGCGATTTGTGCGTGTTCCGAGGCCGAGACGACATTGGGCGGGGTGAAGAGGCGGAGCTCACGCGCCGGGTCGAGGTCCGGGAAGAGGGCTGCGTTGAGGACGGCGCACCAGACTGGGATGGTTTTGCTTAGGGCGTCTGGCATTCCTGAGAGCTGTGTTAGTCTGAAGGTTCTTGGATGTGCTGATATATGAGTCTGATGATGTGGACTTACTCTTGCCCCTGCGGGTTGAATCTACGATGATACATCTAAAGTTCGCAGTCAGCTCTGCTCTCATAAGAAGCATTTGTATCGGAAGCCTCTCTCGCCTGAATGCACTCATGCCACCGTCACCAAACTTCGAAAATACCACCATACAACTCACCCATCATGCTTCCCAACAAGCTCAAGCAAATGCAAATTCAACCTGCGCGTACTAAACTTCCACGCATTCGTATGCCCATCTGTACTCTTGAAATACGCGCTCGCCCGCTTGTCCGCAGGCCGAATATACCAGCTCCCGCAGCGCTCGTTCGCCACAAGCGGACGATCGAAACCGGCCGCGGCATCTTGCACAAAGTCGGCGTCCTGCGTGATGGAGCGAAGCCTGTTCGCGATGGAGAGGTTGGAGCGCTTGAGGTCCGTGAGGATGTGGGAAAAGTTGTGGTTCGCCGTCGTGGGGAAGATGAGGTCTGAGAGGGCAGGGGCTGCGGCCGCTGGGGGTGTGGTTTGCGCCATGGCTTCCGTTTGAAGCTCCAAGGGCAGGACAGGGGTGTGTTTGAATTGAGGCTATCTCATCCAAGATGAGATTGAGTGAGGTTGGAGGGGTTTAGACAAGATTGGCTCTGTCTAGGGCTCGAAATGAGGCACGTCTCAGTCGTGAAATTTCCAATGTGGACGACCCTACTTTGCACTGTGCTTGCGCTCTGGTCTGGCGCGATAGCAGTGGCACTCGGCACTGTATGGATGCGAGGCGATTCATTCATCGCATCTCATTTGGATAACACCGATTATAAGATTGTGAGGTCATGTTTCAAGGCACTCATTCTGCAGATTTGGCTGATGAACGTTTGATGAGTTGGTGCCAAGAGATGAATGAGATTCAAAGGGATCAGAGACATCGGAGATATTGTTCAAGAGACATTGAGTGAGGCTTCATTCTCGTGTCCGTGCTGAATTCCAGGTGCATTCAGCCGCAAGCTAGGGATCGCTGGCATGCCTCACTCAGATGTCGTCCCAAGATGATCAAAGTTCTGTGCTGCTGCTGCCGCCACCGCCGCCGCCGCCGGGCTCTCTCGGGCCGGACTTGAGAGTCGGTAACGCCGACGAGTCGAAGACGGAGAAGATGATGGAAATACCGGAATGTCGAGAATGTCTCCCCGCCTTTTTTCGCGTCGTCAAGATGCGCCGGCAGATGGTATATTGGCAACACGCAAGCAAGCGTGGCTATGTTGGGTACAGCCAAGATGGGCGACGCAACTGTCGCTCGCTTGCTCGCTCGCTTGCTTGCTGCGCGGGTGAGATGCTTTCTCTGCACCCCAGCAATAGCTTGTACCCGGACTGCGGCCGTGGATGAATGGAGACCCGTCTTTACATAGCATCGGGCGGCAAAGACTTACGCCATTGTATCCACCCTACGGATACATCAGGGACTTTATTTTCCTGGCGCAAGGGCATCTGGTGCCCTCTTCCCGCTGTGCCGCTTTGGTGATCAGACCAACAGCTCTCTTGATGTGGGAGAGTAGTGGACAGAGAAATTTATCCCGCTGGAGACGCACTCGGGGTTCCCGTCTGTCAAGATCGAGGTCTTCGTTGTGGAATGGACTGCGTTTCCATGGGCTCTGAAGGTTCCGGGGCTATGAGGGCCCTCTTTTCTCTAGTCTCGTACGAGAGACAACAGTTGCCCTGTGACCAAACAACGCAAGGCCGATTGGACCTTGAGAGTCGCAATTCTGGCGTAGACGTTAGGGAGGGGAGCGCTGGGCGACTCAGCCGTTGTGCGCGTGGACCATCCGGAATGCGGCGGCAGCGGGCTCGTGTTAGCTTCTTGATCTTGCCAGGTTCTCTAAAGTTTTGAAGACGGCTGAGGTGTCAGTCAGTCTGTCAGTCAGTGTCAAATTGTCAGTGTCGCGCGCAATTCTGTGACGGCCCAGGCTGTTATGACAGTCCCGGAGTTCATTCGCAAAAAGACGACCCTGTCCAAAGCTCTGCCGGGCGGTCGTCTTGTCTCATCTCGTCTGCCGTGGGTTGCCGTCCAAGGAATCGAGGCCCATTATCGTCTGCAGGTTGTCATCATTGATGATCGCCGTCCGGCCTTTTCTCCCCCTGCTGCCGCGCATCACCCCAGACAACCGTGACAACCAGGACGTTTTAGCATGCAGCAAAAAAGCAGCAGCAAAGCAACCGCGAAGCAACGACCAATCCAACGCCAGACAACGTCAGACGGAAATCAGGGCTCGCTGGCTTCGGTAGGAGAAACAACGGCGCGTCAGCCATTGGCTTGCGCCGGTTGACGGTTGAGAAATACGAACACCATACCATTGAACTGGTGCGTGGCTTCCTCGGCTCGGTAGGCTCTCTGTACCTTGAACGTCGTCCCTTTGGCTAGCATGCGGCGACACCAAGTACATGGACACATGGTGAACCATAGGGCCACAGGGCAAAGGGGGACAGAAAAGGTAAAAAAAGAGACGGGTTCGAACTATTCGCTCGGGGAGGCGTGGCGTGCAGGGATCTATTGCTCAGCTGGTCGCACTTGAGAGACGATAATTCGCTGCCTGGGATGCAGTGGCGCAGTGTAAACCCAGCGGTTGAGTGGCTTGGTTCAACCCAAGTTTCCGCAGTCTGCCTCATCCCAACCTGTGTGCCTGTGTGGAATCCATCCGTTCATGGAGTGTCCTTGGACCATGGGCCGTGAGTTCGCATTGGTGTCCGTCCCATTGCGCGTAGAGGTTCCGCAGCATCGGGGCTGCAAAGTGGCCGTAGGAGGGATCCTGGTTGAAGCCTCAAGGTTAGGATCAAGAAGAGAAGAATAATTACACTGCAACCTATGAAGGTCATCTTGCAGTACAACATGGAATGATTACATACCTCAAGGTACCTTGCCTTAGTTCATAGTAAACTTCGAATTGCTAAGCTAAGGCAAGGCAGGGAAGGGAAAGACCAAAGATGACGGGAGCTTCAGGCGCGGCTTGGACCCACCCCTCTGCCAGGCGTCCACTCCACCGCCCACTGCCACAGTAAGGTAAGAGGGAACGAGTCGTTGCCCACTGAATCCACGTCTCGTCACTGCCGCAATTCGAGGCCAGCTGGGGCTGTTTCGTTTTAAAGACAAGAAAAGGCAGACGCGTCCCCCAAAAGCCACTTTGCTCCTTCTGATTCTGATTTCCCGTCTATTACCTCCCATCTTCCTCACACTCACCTCACCTCACTCACACACCTCCAAGCTTTCTCTCACGGATATTTTCCAGTGTTTTTGCACGACAGCGAACAGCATCTCACCTCGCCCTCGACACTCGTTCCCACAACCCGAACAACCCAAGCCAGCGAGCTACCTATCTTACATCATTACAGCGGGTTCCCTTATCGATTGGCCCCCAAAACCCCCCGTCCACTGGTTCCGATCCCTGGGTTGTCTCGCCAAACCCCGTTGCCGAGCCGGATTGAGTTTGATCTTTATTTAGAAGGGGAAAAAAGGCCAGGGGAGCAACAGTCGCATAGCTGACAACCTCCTCTCATCCAACATCCCCCTTTCGATCACAAACGTAGGGAAACCCTACTAGATCACCAACAAACCCGACATATTCGACGACTCGACGACAAACATGCTCGGAAACTTTGACTTCGACCCGGAATACGTCCCCGGCGTCAAGCTCGGTCTGCACATCTTCCAGTTCATCCTGTCCTTCGCCATTTGGGCGTTGGAAATTGCAGTGTTTAGAGCCGATAACGCAAAAATTGTCGGCAACAATGGCTGGACTTTTGGAGTAGTAAGGCAACCTGACAGGAAAATGAGGCCTGTACTTTGGCAAGGTATGCAGATTGCTGACAGTCGCATCGTAGTGCTTCCTTTCGCTACCAGCGTGGATTTACCTGATTATGGCGCCGCGGTGGCCGAGAACGAGAAAACTGGCCAACCCCTACGCTATGGCCATCGTAGACGCATGCTTCTGCATCATCTGGCTTTCTGCTTTCGCAAGTCAGGCCGCCTACAACACAGCCAATCAGTGCGGTGACGGCTGCAAGCTCAGCAAGGCCATTGTCGGCTTGGGTGTTTTCGTGTGGTAAGTCGCCAGAAACTCAGATCACGGCTAAGGAAGTCACGATGCTAACAGCACTTTGTCAGCCTTCTTTTCGGCGGCAGCACCTTTGTCAGTCTGTACACCCTCAAGTACTACCAGTTTCACGGCAAGCTCCCCGGCTACGACAAGGAGAAGCTCGGCGGTGACAACATCGACCCCGACAAGGCCGCCTTTTCCATGGCACCCCACGACGAGGAGGCATACGCCCCCGTCCAGATGGACGATCACAACGACGACAACACAACGCTCTACGGCGGCAACGCCACCGGCAACCACGGATACGCCAACAACAGTTACAACAGCCGCTACGGCGCAGGCAGCTCGGCCTACGGCGAGGATGACGACCCGAACCGCTACGGATCCCTCCCCTCGCGCCAAAACGGCGCCATGTTTGACAGCGAGACCGAGTACCACTCCCAAACCCATCCTCAGAGGCCCACCTCCACCAGCCCCGCGGCGGCGGTACAACCGTACTCCGCCCCTGAGCCGTACGGCGCAGCACCCGCTTACGACGACGACCGGCCCGCGCAGTTTCCCTCCGCGCCCTACGATCGCACGATGCATTAAGACGAAGATCCTATTCTTTCAGCGGGATAGTAATCTGGTGTGAGGGATTCGTGATGGCAGGGCCACAACCCGAGCAAAACTTGGCCCGGTTTTGGTTTGACGAAGAGGAACGGACTGTGCTGTCCAGTGTTCACATAGATGGGCTTGGATTTTTATTTTCCGGATTACGGGGTGTTGTTGGCGTCCCATTTGTAACAAAGGTAATCGAAAAGATACCAGGCATGAAGCTCTCTCTAGGTAGACATCAAATTTGATGACATGACGATTCAAAGTCAATGATGAAAATTGGTCAACTTGCTTTTGTAGTTGACATGTGGAATATTGTGTTTTATGCCAAAAATTTTGATCTGAAAACGCCATAACTCCTCAAAAGGGGAACACGACAGTATTTCCTCTATGGCCAGGCTCTTACCACCGACCAACATGTAATATGAACGACTCCTTTTGGAACTTTTTCTTTCCTTCCATGCCCTCCCTCTCTGTAAATGCTTTCTTCCCCTTCACTCTACTCTCTTCCTTCCATTTCCCCCCCTCCTCATCTACACTGCTTCTCCTCTCCCGGAAAGATTTACGCCTTGCCAGTAAACCTCTTCACCCGGCGCGCGATATCGCCTTTCGTCTGCTGCATGGGGTTCAACTTGCGATCCCGCACCATGGCATCGTAATCGTCGCCGTGCTTGGCAATCAGCCTCTCGAGCCACTCCTTCTCCTGCTGGCTAATGTGCCGCGGCTTCTTGATCTCGGGGAGAGCGGCTTCCTTTTCGAGGAGGCGGATGACTTCGGGTCTGCTCTCGTCGTCGATGCCGCCCCATTCTTCTTCGTTTTCGGCGGCCCCTTCCTCGTCATCAGAGTCTTCTTCGAGGGCGTTTAGGGGGTCATTGAGGGGGTTGGGACGCTTGTTGGCGCTGGCGTAGTGGATTTTGATGATCTTGCCGTCGGCGTCGCGCTCGACGCGGGCTTCTTCAAAGACGGCTTCTTCGGTTGTGGAGATGGCGAAGGGGTCGGCGCGCTTGGCGGAGGAGGAGGCGGTCTTTGCTTGCTCGAGTTGAGCGAGGGTCTTTTCTGTGCCGCCTGTTGCTGATTTGAGGCGGGCTGTGAGGCCTAGGCGGCGGTAGTTCTGGGTGAGGGTTTCCTTCTTGTTCCTGGACGAAGGGAAAGGGTTCTTGGTTAGCTTGAGGTTTTTTTTTTCTTCTCAGTTGCGGAAGCTAAACGTGGAGGGCTGGCAGTTCAAAGGGACGACGAGTGTGTGTGTGTGTGTGTGTGTGTGTGTGTGTGTGTGTGTGTGTGTCTGCGTACCAGTTCTTTGCGATGATGTCGTTGCCGAGAGGGTTGAGGAGCTTCTTGGGCCTGTTCGTCTTGACTTTGGCGCGGCCGGAGCGGCGCTTCTTCTTTTGGAGGACGGAACCCATTGTGAGTCGATTGTCTTTTTTCGGAGAGGACGTAGGGAGTGGTAGGATGCGGGATCACGGGTGGTTTGGGTCAGGCAGAATTGACGAGGTACAACGGCCGGGCGCAATGCAGTTTGGCTGGAGGTTGCTCGAGTTGCCGCTTCTCGAATTTTTTGTTAATCTTATCTTATCGGGGGAGGGGCCGCTTGGCTCGTATCGGGCTTAGCGTGGTTCGAGGTGTGGTACCTTCACCGAGATTCACTGATATCTGACCGAGATTCGTCTTTCTCACCTAGGTACCAAATGCGATGCCTTTAACTCCATGCCGTACATAAGGTATTCAAGTTTGGGGGGGGGGGGGGAATAAAAATTCGATTGTCGTAGAAATTGATTCTCCTCATGAATTTCCACATGTTTAAGGCGTTCTAAGTTGTTTTCCTTGAGAGGGGGATGAGGTCGAGTCCTCCTGTTGCATGGTTGTAAGCGAATCTCCTTATCGCCTGAGAAGCTTGAGGACCCTCTCGGGCATGCTAGAACCTTCTCTATCATCAAATCAACGTTTTGTTGAATGTTGGTTTCGTGCAAATCATAACCAGTCGGTAGGATAGACTGTTCATTGTTGCAGGCAGTAAAAGAAACGCCGATGTGTTGATAATCTGTGTTCCGGCGTTCTTGCCTCTCACGCAGATGTCGATACCTTGAAGTAGGGAGGGAGGTAAGTAGGTACCTTACGCATGGTATATCCTACCTGCGCGTTTACGTGTATTCATCCCCGTCACTACAATACACCACAGACGAAGCCCACATAGGTCCCCTCAACTCCATTCCCGTCACCAGCAACCGCAGGCGCCCCTCTAGGTCGGGGGGTCAGGTCAAAGTGGGCTGGGTGGTGGAGTGGTTCATGGTCAACAATCAATTATACGCCAACCAGCCTACTCGACGACAGGCTAAGCGCATACGAGTACTCGAGTACCAGCACCAGACATTACAAGTTCCCAGCATGAGCACCAAGAGATGTAGCCCCCACTTCGGCATCGGGGTGGGTGAACTCTTTTTTGGGGGGTTTCTCCTCTACCGATTAGGCCTAAATTGTGTTGATTCACAGCCCAGCATAGGGTTGGAGGATAAATGTTGCAATCTCGAAATCGACTGGATAAATAGATAGTCGCGGCAAGCTGTAATAGTTTATTTCACGTCGCCTATGAAGGGATCGGCCCAGATTTTGGATGTTGGTGTTTTTTGTTATTACTGGCTCTGCAAACCTGAGTCTTAGGTTCCTCAGAAGCGTTTAAATACGGCTTTCAGATGGTCATTTGGCGCTGTTGATTGGCTGTTGTCCAACTGGTAGGTCAATGGTAGCAGGCCTTAAGGGCGAATGGGGACTTCCTACGGTGATGGATTGCACACTTTCATGTGTGGACTGACACTGCCTTTTAGCTGTCTGGGCAATCCGGTTTCACGATCAATGAAACTCTGGCTTTAAATCTCATCGCAAACAGAGCATACTTCTCATTCATGTCATAATTTGATTTCATTCAGCGTAAAATAGCAGATGGTATATAAGCCCTTTACATATCCACAGGTCATCCACACAACGTCATCCCTTCAACACACACCACCCCCTACACCAGCTTCCAGACACCGTTATTGACCTCAATCTTGATCTCGCGGTTCTCGTCGATACTTTTTCTGCCGGCGTGGAGGATAGCCGTGGTGGCGATGGTGTTCTTGAGGGTAGGCAGGCCCTTGGCATCAAGATCCTTGGGCTTGAGCTGGCCAGAGTTGACCTGCCTGCAGCCGTCGACGAACTTCTCGAGCGAGATGTAGCCGTAGCCCGTCTGGCCGTTGAAGTTTCCGTCCTCGTCGGGCGCGTAGCGCATGTAAAAGGGGTTGTACCACATGAGCTGGCCCGCCGAGTCGTCGGCGACGTCGTAGCCGCGCTTGGCCTGGTCGACGCGGATCTCGCCGTTGGCGGCGAGGTAGTGGAAGTACTGGTTCGAGTGGACACCCGCGCGCTGGGGCGCGGTCCAGCTGGCGGTGTAGACGCCGGTGGCCTTTTTGGATGGGTCGCCCTTCTTCTCCCAGTGGACGAGGACGGAGATTGTGTCCTCGGTGGCCGGGTCGCAGCCAAGGTCGGTGGCGATGCCCTTTGACGCCGAGGCGGAGACCTTGACGGGGACGAAGCCCTGCTGGGTGACCATGGAGTCGCAAATGTCGACGTGGTGGCTGTTGAGGTAGTAGGAGATGTCCGAGTCGACGCCGGCCCAGGCCTTGAAGGTCTCGAGCTGGGACTTGGGCTGGGACATGTAGCTGTAAAAGTAGTTGAAGTCGCCGAGCTTCTGGGCCTTGAAGCGGGCGTCTGAGTAGGCCGGGTCGAAGCGCTTGTGGTGCTCGATGAAGACGTAGACGCCCTTCTTGTCGGCGGCCTCGATGAGGGCCTGGTGGTGCTCCAGGTCCTTGACGGCGGGCTTGGTCAGGAGCACGTGGATGCCGCGCTCGATGGCATAGAGGGCGATGGGGTAGTGGGTGGTGTCGGGGGTGAAGATGGTGATGGCGTCGCCGGCCTTGAGCGCGTCTATGGCCGTCTTGTAGGAGTCGGGGTCCTTCTTGTCGTTGGAGGGGTAGGAGTCGAACGAGGTGTCCAGGCCGTTGTAGGCCTGAGTGATGTTCTTGTGGAGATGCTCCCCTTCACGCCTCGGTTAGCATTGCCACTTCAACTAAGTAAATTTGCTCGGGAAGCGGTGTTCTACGTACTAATGGCAGGGAACTTTGTGCCGTTGACACCAACCATGCCCAGTTGGTTGACCTTGCCTCTTCTCCTCAGGTCGAAGAGAGTCAGGCCGACGACGCCCACCTTCTTGTCTGAGCCAGAGGCACCGCCACCGACGAAACCGGTGGTGTACTCTCCGGTACCAACCTGGTGATGATTGGATCAGCAACTGGAACTGAGCTGGACATTTGTGGATTGGCTTACCATCAAAACGTTGAGAGGCTCCATTTTGGTCGCGTCTTTTCTTTCAATGGGTCGGAATGTTACGTGTGAGGGGAAGGAAAGTTTGGGAGGGAATAGAGAAGAGGAACTTCCTGAACTATGACGGACGGCGAAAGCTATGGTCTATATAAGAGAGGGGTGGGAACGTGTCAATGGGTCAAGTAGCACGAATAGCTCGGGCGAGACGCAGCGAGAGACAGCACAGGACAAGGTAGACAACGGGTAATAATGGGCAGGCCAAGATTGTTTTTTCTCTCCTAGGATGAAGCTCGCCATGGCATAGCGACCAAGGAGGAGCTCCCGTCTCGTCTCCGTCACGTCTCGTAGCTACTCCACGACAAAAGCTGGGCCCGGAAAAATTGAGGGGCAGAGGAGGGGGAAAGACAATTGGAGGGATTTATCAGCCCCGCACTCCGCCGTGCGTCAGCTCCCCCAGCCCAGACGCTTGACTTATCCGCTCAGATAGTACGATGGAGTCAATTCTAGGGAGTCTCTGGGATGATGTGCTGTGGTGGCTTCCCTTGGCTTGTTTTGTCAGAATAAACCGAGATTGTTGAAAGAGCGCATGGCGCATGGCATATGCACGGTTTATTCTTCAGCATTCATCCAGCATCAATTTGTATGAGGAGCACATTGCGGAAGCATGAGAGACTTGCGGAGAACTTGTGATTACGGTAATGGAAATATGTCCCTAGCGTATGGGAAAGAGAATAGTAGAAGAATAAAGCATGCTGTCGTTACCGGAATCCCATCCCGAGTATGACCGAAGCCACGGTGCCGTGGACGCCGGTGTTCGGAGGGGCGAACCGGCCGATTTAAGTCTACGACGGAGGATGCGCCGCCACGCCATCTTGCCAGGCTTTCATATTGTGGCTTGAGCTTCTAATTACAGCAGAGCAACCTGGTATCCGATTCTTCCCTGGAGCCGGTTCTATTCATTTCTTGTCTCGCAGAGAAATAAGGAGCCAAAGTGAAGACATCTGCGAGTTGCGGCTTTGCGCCTGAAGAGGAAGAGAAACATGGAGGGGCAGAAAAAAAAGTGGAATGAGGGGGAGGGGGAGGGGCAGTGGGAATCCCAAGCGTGGGGCAGCGTCGTGCCGTTCTTCCATTGGGGTTCAACGGGTGCCCGTACTTGTGTACCTCACTTTGTGCTAGTAGTCGGCCTAGTAACGTGTGGATTTGGCCATGGAGAATAATGCCAATTTGTCTGGACAGGGTGGTCAATTGCTGGCCGGTTAGAGCAATTAACGCCGGTTATTACCCGTTGATTGGGAAGACCAATGCATAGAAGAGTCAACCCTGTATAGAGTATTTGTACAACCACTCAACCCCAGAAATCTTGACGGCCGAGAGCGAGCACGAACAATGTTGGACAATCGTCTTAACCCAAAGTAATTTGAACGATCAAGGAACCAATACTCGTAAATTCTGATTTGGATTTGGAGGAGGTTTCCAGGACCGCCTTCGCACGCACATTGCTGTGTACATTGACAACCCAGCGTGTATGTAAGTCTCTTTTTCCTGGGCCATTCCCCGCCCCCACGCCCCATCTGCCCCGCGTCAACTTGTAACATGGATGACCGCTGGTACAAAATACATAAAGGTAAGGTGCGTAATAGATAGTAGGTATCCAAACAAACTACCTAGTTATCCGTAGACCATTGGAATAAATATTACAGCGTATGTTGCTAGAAAGAATCTATTGTCGATTGCAGAATACCAGGCTGTCACCACTGATGCAGTATTTTTCATTCCGAAACACGCACCAGGGCATCCTGCTCCGAGGAAAACCATGTGATGGGATTCTTTACCTGCACACGATACATTGCTTGCAGAATTCGATATTTAATCCCTCTCCAACCGGCTAAAGATTGTGGTTGTATTGGCCGACAGTGCACAAACTTGAGTTTCATTGCCCGCGACGTTAGCAATACTCAATATCTTGCACGACTTTACCCGGGAATTGGAGTTTAAGAAGTACACACAATCTTTGCCGAATTACTTACACGCCTTTCATGATACTAAGGTATCTACACCGAAACGTAGCGCAGGCTCCAGGTCAGTCACACGCACCTGGATAAGTTCTTCAGGATATTAGACCACCTAACGCCTTTCTACATGAATTCCACATTGATCGCGAGTTTCAGTACCCACATTATGTCCTCTCGCTCGTCCATTCCGTTCCAGCGCCGATGGTTAGATCCCTCGTGCCCCTCCATGCCTGCTCCAACTCTGAAGCTAAGGTACCGTGGTACCTCCACTCACTCGAAGACACCCCACTTACCCTGCCAGACAAAATTTTCTAGTTCCTATTGGAGGAATATCTTGGACGTAATTTCTCCGTCCACTCAGCTGACTTCCATTTCCATCACTTCTAACCTTCTCCAACACTTCAACGCCGCACAAATCCATGCCATTCCATACACTTCGTATCGCCGGCCAGCCTCTCACATATCGTTGCAAAGAGGTTACAGCGATGCACTGCGCCATCTGCTAGATGTTCTACTGTTTCGGTGTTCATGCCGGTTCTCTCTCGCCGGCCACCGGCTGCGGTCACCAGAGCGACCGGTAGTGATCCGGACTTGCTTAGAGAAAAGCCATCGCTGGCACAGAATATAGCTTACTTGGCTCGTCTCCGGATACACAACAAGACAACTTATCGAATTCACCTCTTGATGCTGACCGTAGGGTTTCAGTATCTTCGAGCTAAACACCACTACCGCCGTGACTCTCGTCACTTTCCTCGTCTCCAATATGCCGCTTAGTGCGTCTACACTTCTGGCGGTGTCGATAGGTCAGAAGATGACGACGGGAAAAGTTCAACTCATGCACGACGGGCGAGCAACCCCGAGACTGAGCTACCAATCGCCGGATGATTTGCCAGGCACCCTCCGGCCTGCAGATGTGCATGTCCCAGTTCGGCGCTAATGCTCAGGACGGGCTTGACGAGCCTTGTGCTGCATGACCAGACGACAGCTCTCCCAATAATGCCGTCTTTCTCATCATCCTTCTGGTATTGCCCTCCACGCGCGATTCCAGATTTCGGACACCACCCAGCCCTGTGCTGGCTGCCTCCGTGCAGATCTCGTGGCATCGGCCGGAAGCATCTGGCTCATTGGCGCAATCCATCTTCCCAGCAGATCCTGTCCATGACACAGGGCTACAGCTTACAGCAGATGCATCTTCGCTACCGTCTATTACCGGGGCCCACGGACCACAGACGTGGGTGGGCGATGTTGGATGGATCGGAGCTTCAAGGGAAGTCCCTTGCTTGTCTCGGATTTCCCTCGTCTTGTGACGGCTGTCTTTTCTCAAAGTCTGCAAATACCCCGCCATGGCTGAGAGCCCTGCCCAGAGGATTCATTCCTCTTCAAAGTGGGACTGAGACGCAGCGAGCCGACTTCATCCTCACCAATGCGGTCAACATCTTCACTCAACATATCTGCAAACATGAGAGCTTTACCATCATTATCCCAGTAGGCTAGTTGAGGGCCATCAAAGAGTAGGAATTGGTCACCAAAAGCCTCATCGTTGAACTACCTGGAAACAGGAACCGCTTGCCGCAATACCGGTGATGCACCTCGTTTCTCTGCACACTCCACCCCCTTCTCCATCTCTCTTAGCGTTCTTCTCGTCTAGTTTCCGATTGCCCCTCCCCCTCCCTCCCCCAACTGGGGTGCAAGGGAGCGTCCCAAGGTGGCCCCGTTGTGCAGTTATTAGCTTCTTCGGTCTTGGCTTTTGAGTCTACACGATGTTCGATAGTTCGGGACAATGTCCACACGAGCAAGGCCCTCGCGACACGTCGAATATTTATTTCTAGGCTCATCCCACCCCACGCGGGCTTGCTGATACTGGAACAAGCCCATTAGCTCACGGAAACCTTTCCGTCCTCCTCGTTGTCTCTTTTCTTTCTCCCTCCTATAAATACAACACCGGCCTCTACCCGCCTCTCTGGTAAGTATTACCTCTTACCTCTTCTCAACAACCACTTCACTCCTCTCTTGTGCTCTTCACCTCTCCAACCTACCCCTCTCACTCACACTTTGCTCACAGCTCTCTCATTCATCCAGCTCACCCACCAAATCAGCCCATCATGACCGTCTCCAACGGAAGCAGTGGCGCTCGCCGCCCCCTCCCCGTCGGCATCTACGCCCCCACCATGACCTTCTTCGACCCCGAGACGGAAGATCTCGACATCCCTACCATCAAGAAGCACGCCGAGCGTCTGGCCAAGGCTGGTCTTGCTGGCCTGGTCGTCATGGGTTCCAACGGAGAGGCTGCCCACTGCACACGCGAGGAGAAGCTGGCCGTGACCAAGGCCACCCGTGAGGCTCTCGACGCCGCCGGCTTCCAGAGCACCCCCATCATCCTCGGTGCCACCGAGGGCAGTGTTCGCGGCACCATTGAGCTCTCCAAGGCCGCCCTCGAGGTCGGCGCCGACTACTCTCTCATCCTTCCCCCCTCCTACTTCCGCGCCCAGATGGACGAGCAGGCCATCTACGACTACTTCATCGCCGTCGCCGACCAGAGCCCCATCCCTCTTGTTCTCTACAACTACCCCGGCGCCGTCTCCGGTATCGACATGGACAGCGACCTGCTCATCAAGCTGGCCGAGCACCCCAACATCATCGGCACAAAGTTCACCTGCGGCAACACGGGTAAGCTCACCCGCGTAGCCCTCGCCACCAACGCAAAGACCCCTTGGTCAGAAGGCTCCGGCTACATGGCCTTTGGCGGCATATGCGACTTCACGGCCCAGACCCTCGCCAGCGGCGGCAGCGGCATCATCGCCGGCGGCGCCAACGTCATGCCAAAGGTCTGCGTCAAGGTGTGGAACCTCTACTCGGAGGGCAAGAGGGACGAGGCCCTTGAGCTTCAGAAGAAGCTCAGCCGCGGCGACTGGTTCCTGACAAAGGCCGCCATCGCCGGTACCAAGGGCGCCATCCAGAGCTACTACGGCTACGGAGGCTTCCCCAGACGGCCTCTGAGACGTCTGGAGAAGGCCCGTACCTCTTCTATTGAGGAGGGCATCAAGGAGGTCATGGACATTGAGAACTCTCTCTAATTGGAGAACGATTTGTTCTCCTTCTTATGATTCATGCACTCATGAAGAATTGGGAGAGAGAAATGACCTAAGCATGCGGGCAACAAAAAAAAAAAGTTGCCCGGCGTGACAGATGGTGGGGTAAACGTCCCCTCCCACCGATCACGGCCGTGGGGGTAGTTTCCCCGGGCTAGGTCTCGGAAGAATGTCCGGGGTGATGATGTGCCGAGCTCTTTTGGTATCCCCCCACCCCACTCTCACCAAGGTATCCGTACCTAGCCTGACATAACTCGGACTTTTTTGTCCTCATCCCCTCAAAAAAGACAGTGTGGGTTGGCATCTGTCGATAGTTTTATAGGGAGTTTTCGGGCGCAGAAATAACGATTTGGGATGAGAGGTTGCATTTGTTGGTACCATTACCAACTTAGGACCCTTGTACTAGGAGCAGCGCATAGTCAAAGACATCGTCCTTGGGACTGAATATCCTAGAGGAACCTCATAATAGATTTTATGATTTATGTATTTTTTCAAATCACTGTTCGTGTTTCGTTAATCATGCGTCTCTACCTTGTTTTCTATACCATGCAGCAAAGGTTCCAGCACTGAAATTGCACTTCCACTGCGTGTCTGCGCTCAATGTCACCGCATCTAAACTCTATACCGCCTCGGATCCAGCTCCGAGATATCGGCGCTGACAGTCTTGCCGTCGAGTATATACTCGGACATGAGCTTCCCCGTTGCGGGTCCGTTCTGGATGCCCCAGCACGTGTGGCCGGCCGCGAGCCACAGGCCCGGCACGGACGTCGCGCCGATGAGGGGCCCAGACTCGTGTTGGGGCAGGTAGCACGCCTGCTTCGCCTTGATGGAGGCGGCCGCCAGGGCGGGGCTGACGGTGGCGATGTACGAGATGATGTCGTCGCAGTTGGCTTCGTCTACTTGGACCTTGTCTGCTGTGTCGGGGAGGGGTGCGTCCTCGTCTGGTTCGCCTACAGTGTGGGGAGTGTTGCTGTGAGCTTTACGTCTTTGATGGACTTGGGGTTTGGTTGTTGAATATGTCTAGGGGAAGGGCCGGAAAGGGGGAAAGGGGGCAACGAACCACATGCATACACCTCGCCATACGGCCGCGCATAAATCTCCGGGTCGACAACGCGCTTATGCTTCCTCTTTTGGCCTTTGCTAACCCGGTGTTCGGGCACAAAGTCGGCCGGGAGCTTGATGCTGGTGAAGACGGCGTAGGGGCTGACGTCGGCGTTGTATACGACGCTGTGGGCCCGCAGGCCCGTGACCTTGGACCGCGGCAGCAGGCGGCCGGTCCACGGGCCCGCGGAGACCAAGACGTCCGTCACGTCGTCGATCGTCCGGGTCTCGTTGGTCTCGCGGTCGAGGTACTCGACGCTCTTGACGCCTCCGCCGCCGCCGTCGCCGCCCTCACCGGAGATGATTCTCTTCAGCAGCGCGTTGGTCCGCACCTCAACCCCCTTTTCCTGCGCCAGCGCCGCCATGGAGGTGGTGAAGTCGTAGGGATGCACCTGCGCCGTCTCCGTCGCGCCAGGCCTGCCCATCTCGGCGTACGTCTCGACGGCGGCGCGATCGATCCAGTCGAGGTCCCCCGGCACGACGCCGCCCGAATCCCTTAGCATGGCCTCGGCGGCCTCGTCCTGCTTCGGCAGCCTCTCCCACCCCTTTTCCTGCTCGCCTTCGTTGGCGCCGGGCGCGACTGCCTCGGGTTTCACGGCGGCTTGTTTGATTTTTTCGAGCGTCTGCTTCGTGACGCGGGCCTCGAAGCTGCCGCAGTTGACGCGCCGGTAGCCCCATCTCTTCTCGCCGCCGTGCTCTGTGGCGAGCTCCTTGTGCAGGCGGTAGGAAAGCGGGACGAGGCAGGACGGGTAGGCCCAAAGGGCGAGAAGGCCACCTGCTTTGCCCGAGGCGCCTGAGGCGATAGCGGTGGCCTCGAGGATGGTGATGCGGTGGAGGGCGGGGTTGTATTTCGGGTGTCTTGTGAGGAAGTAGGCCGTTGTGGAGCCGATGATGCCGCCACCTGTAAAGTGGCCGTGCCCTTAATATCAGTCTACTTGAAGTGGCGACGACGACGACGACGAAGAAGACGAGGACGACCCTGTTGTGTAGTAGACGTACCGACAATGACAATGTTGCGCTTTGCTTGGGGATCCATGGCTGGCAAGGGCGGTGTTAGTGTCGACAGGGCCTCTTCCTCGAGTATCCGTCTGGCAATGTCGAGTTGTCGTTTCTCGCGCCGCTGCTTCTTCGTCTTCTTCCTGACGGCGGGCATTTCGTCACCGCGTGGGGCGGGCGTGTTCCGCTCAACCCTGAGCTCCTCGAGGGGCACGGTCCGGGGCGGGGTAAGTTTCCTTATCGATAGCGCGTGGTGACGGCGGCGGGACGTTGATAGAACGAGACCGCGGCCGGGTTGCGGCCCCCCCTCAAAAAGGTACTTTGGAGCAGGTATCCGTTTCTGTAGGTAGCGTGTTGCAGCAAAGTCTCGAGCAGCCTGACGTGATTCGGGTGATTTGCGTACTGGTGATTGGGAAAGATTGCGCTGAGGGAGACCGGGGCGGCAATTGGCCCAGGATCGAGCTTGTATTCCAAATACGGAAATCACCTCGGCGAGGGAGCTATGACGGAAGAAGCATTGATCCGCCTCGGCTCGGCTTCTTCCTGCTTAGTAATTGACAATCGATGGCTGGCCAAGTCCCGATAACGTTATGAGCCGGTCTGGCGTGAGCTTTCTATTGAAATCGAGGTGGCCTCCCCCCGGCCTCTTCGGTGCTCTTGCCTCGACTCGGGTGGTCTGCCGCCATGGAAGACCCGGACTTCAAAGTTGGTGCTTGTCAAACTTGCAAGAGTCGAGGCTTCAAAACCCATCTGGACTGGCCGACTCGGGCACCGGAACAACGCATTCAACCGACCGGCTCCACTTTCACATGAAGAGCCGGATCTCGCGTTCGCTTCATGAATTCGAAGTAGTGATTCAGTATTGTGAAGTTGATGAGCTGTGAAAGACGATGTCTTTTGGTTGACTTCAAGCAAGACTCTTGGGAACAGAGCTTGCTATATGAGTTGATCTTTGTAGGCAATGCTCTGCTTAATACTCATCTGTCTACCAGTGCCACCAAGTGACCAAAGACAAGCTGTGACATTGGCATGTCTGGATCGAAACAAAACGGAACCAGGACATGCCGTCCCGTACCTCGGCCGATGCAGAGCTTGTCGACCCTCCCGCATCCATCGTTGACGGAGCCCCACTTTCGACCGAAGACCCCGTCATGCCCCTCTTGTTCTGGCCCATTCGAGGTGTCAAAGTGCAGCTCTGTGGAGGCGTTGGAAGTGTTATGGTGCAACACTAACGGTAATGGAAGGTATCCGTAGGCCATTACGGAGTACTGTGTACGCATACGCAGTACTTTAGTCTGTTGGTGTGGCTTCGATGCGAGTGCACGCCCGTGCCCGGGGACCCCATTGGAAACCGGATTGAAACTTTGTCCCGGCAGCACCACTGGCGAAGTGGACAGGCGTGACAAGAAAGGACGACGCACTTCCCTTCCCGTCCGTCCCTGCATCACCCAATACCTCCCTCGTGGCGTCACGCATGGCATGTTTCGTCAACTACATACCAGAGCCTTCTCTCCCATAACAACTTCCACTGCTGCTTCCGTAGCTGTGCACCACCAAAGACTTTTTCTTCCCTACATCTACTCGCTCAAAACTTGTGTATCATCGCCAAACCGACCGCAACTAATCAACAAGATCCAATTGCGGGGTAATCTCAAAGCTATCGCACAAAAGCACCAGCAAATTCACACAACCGCAGCAATGGCTTCCGCAACAGGCTTCTACGACTTCAAGCCCTTGGACAGTACGTGTGATTCTATTGTTGCGCACGCTAATTAACCAATCACCTTGAAAACGGTTCGGCTGACATGCGTTCTTCCCCTCCAAAACAGAGCGCGGCCAAGAGGTTGCCCTCGCCGACTACAAGGGCAAGGTCGTCCTCGTCGTCAACACCGCTTCCAAGTGCGGCTTCACCCCGCAGTACGCCGGCCTCGAGAAGCTCTACAAGGATATCAAGGAGAAGCACGGCGACGACTTTGTCGTCCTCGGCTTCCCCTGCAACCAGTTTGGCGGCCAGGAGCCCGGCTCCGACGACGAGATCCAGAACTTCTGCCAGGTCAACTACGGCGTCTCCTTCCCCATCATGCAAAAGATTGACGTCAACGGCGACGCCGCCAACCCCCTCTTCCAGTGGCTCAAGGAGGAGAAGCCCGGCATCATGGGCCTCAAGCGCATCAAGTGGAACTTTGAAAAGTTCCTCGTCGGCCGCGACGGCCAGGTCAAGGGCCGCTGGGCCAGCACCACCAAGCCCGAGAGCTTGGAGAAGCCCATCCTCGACGAGCTGGAGAAGAAATAAACGCGAAAAGGAGAGAATGATACCCAAGAGCGCGTTTAGCTGCGGACTAAGGGGGAATTCTGTTGTGTTTTGTCTGGGAAACCCGAGCCAATCGCACAGGTCTCGTAGTATAGCTTGGCAACCGCCCTACTCCCTTCGGTTTAGTATAGTACGGAGGATAATTAACAATATGAACCACTATAGTGATTTGTTCTGTTACATGCCTGTTTGAAACATTCGCAGTGCTTGAAGATGAGGCGGTAATCAAAGGACGGTCTCAAAACGTGACATTCGTAGGCTTGAATAGCTTCATGTTGACAGTGAGATACGCATGGGCTGAATGATACTCTTTTGCTGAAGATCACTTCTAGGTTCTCTGAAAATCAGAACCTTTGTCCTGTGCCTGTGAAATCTAGGCTACGAGTTGTGATAGGCAATGCGATAGTGGATATTCATATAATTAAAATACACACGCCTTTCTTAATAGCATTACTGAGGTGGTTCCTCGCATTCCCAAATAGTCAAGTAATCGTGTCATCCTTCATCTCATTCTAGGAATGGCTGCAAATCACCCAATACTTGCCGTTCCTTGCGGTCTATGCTCGTTACTTTGTGAAGCTGATTCCGGTAGACACTTGCCGTACACTTGCCGTGAACGTTGCTATAGTTGTCGCGAAGTTGCTCGATGTGAAAGATAGTTATAACCGCTTTCCGAGTGAAACAATCATCCATAATGATTGGATAGAAGACACTGGTATTGGGGCTGCCTGAAAGCATCTCTGGCCCTAGATGACCCCTTCCTTGAGTGTCTTGTTGGGGTTGACTGCTCCTAGCTTGATGAGGGATAGAAAGCAGTACCTTCTCTTGACCTTTACACGAGGCTTGAGAAAGACATTCCCTGCCATACTTGACGCTGCATGTATCTCGCCTACCCCATTATGGTGGTAACAGTGGCAAAACGGATTGATTCGATGATCAGTGGCTCGATATCTCCATCCTCGACATCATCAGTGCTAGGGTGACTTCCTGCGGCGAGCTACAGAGCTGAACGATCATGATGAATGCAACATTCGGCTGAACACTTGCTCCTTCAGCCTAGCCGAGCCTTCATATTTAAGGCGCCACGACGGACACTGCGTCTTTACAAGGTCGAGACATACATAGTTTCGGTTCTAGGTGTCGTCGTTGAATATTTAAAGAACATATATGCCACGTGTTGCCTAGTTGGTAGATGGAATAAAGAGCTTCTCTGCCTCTACAACTCATGGGGTAATCTTCAGAATAACGGCGATTCGCAGCGCTATCAACATGTATAGCCTCCAAGGACTCGGTAATTGACTCTTCGCCGCCGTGCACACGAGGCTTCATTCCTGTCATAGGCTATGTTGATGGGACCTTCGGTGTTGTAAAGAAAGAGCATCACGACAGGTGAAGCACGGCAATCGCAACCTGTCTATAGCTGGCAAACTTTGATTACCGCTCACAAGAAACTTCATTAGCTAATGAGGTGCTCGAGAACCTTGGCTGCTGTCTTGGACGAGGAGGCAACTGTATGAGTGCCGCGCTGGATTCTGCATAACAGTGAGTTACCGGTTGGCGTTGAAATATCTCACTACATGGTGTGCCTCTTGAACAATCATCATCGCTGAAGCAGATATGACTCTCAGTGTCAGATTGAAAGAAGGGGGCCAGAAGTTGTCTCGTAACTCGACTACAGCAGTTGCGGTCCATCAAAATGGCAGCGATATCATACGAAGCTTCAACTTGATATTTGTGTCCGCAACACAAGTATCTGTATATAGCGCACACTTGTTGAATAAATTGACTACTTGTTGAATAGTACTCATTCAGACTAGATTGATTGTGATATAAGGAAACCCCCCTTGGAATCCGGATCTAATTGGTATGACCTCAACAGCCAGTCAAGTCGTCAACATTTCCACCATAAATCAAGTATGAGGCTCCATCTCGGAAGAGGGCTGTCACATGGGAGCACAAGTTCTTCTGATTTGCCTTGGGAGTGTTTTCATATCTTGTAACACGGATTCTTGGTTACAGTTGACCAATTATAAATTATCAGCCTCTGTCGACATTGTAAACTTTGCTCTCCAAACGGGATATGTACGTCTTTGCCGCGACCTAAAGAATCCACGTAGAAATCTAAACGGGCCACGCTCTCATGTAACAAGACGAAGCTGCTTCTATGGCTGTACGTAGCCAAGCTTATTCGATAACGGCCAAGTGAGGAAGCGACAACGATGACCAGATGTCGCCGAGAAAGTAGCCCTCCAAATTGACCGCGAAGGTCGGTATATGCTACTGGCATTAGACTGACATAGAGCAATATCATTTGGATATTAGGGTCATGTTTAGGATCTTGAACGTTGGCGCTTTTACAGACTGTGGACACCAAAGGTGAGGAGGCTTCAACCATTTGTTGACCTGAAGTCACTCATGGAACTCCCGCGATGTTTGAGAGCCCAAGCTGATCAAAGAGAGACGAGCTCGGCATTCAGTGAAGATGCAAGATATGATCGAGAGTCCACCTAGATAAGGCAATCTGGTCTTGGTTCAGATTACACAGGCTGAGCTGGCTTTCAACTCATCCGCTTCCTGAATTTTATTTTCATAGCGTTCACATTAGGGACGGCATGGTGACCCGAGACAGCGTACATCACAAGGAAGAAGACCGTCTTGGTACTTGCAGAGTAGGGTACTCCCAACCAATATCAAAGACTCGGGGCCTCTGTGCTTACTCGAAGTCCGAGAAAGCGTGATACATCAAGCCACGGAAACATTGGGACTATACCACAAGCCATGGCCAGGGAAAATGTCGTACAGATATCAAATTGAGGCTCAAAGGCAATCACAAGTGTATACGGATATCAGTAATCATGTGAAAATGCGACCTCCAATGCATAACATCTTATTTGCTACAGATATCTACAGAGGCATGACACTTGAATCCTCGTTGGTACGCGAGGCCGCCGCTACGAAACAGAAACCTCACCCTTCCAATTCATCTCACTATCTCTCATTTCTCAAAACCCAGAAGATAGAAAGAGATATTCTGCCATATGCCGCCACGCAAATGAAATCAGGAAACCCCCACGGCACGCGACTCACCGTCACACAAGGCTCCATCACCACTGGCTCATCTCCGTCCCACCGCAAACCAAACAGTGGGAAAGCCAAGATTTGCCCCCTCGTGGGCGTGCAGAGAAATAGAGAGACGTAGAATCGTGTAATCTGGTTCACGCCCCCTGGTTTGTGCGCTTTTTTTCGCGGCATTGCACAAATGCACAATGCGCCTTGTCAAAAACCCCCCATCCTCGACTCCATAGTACCGGTGAAGTTATGGGACTTCATCGCGTGTCCCGGGTGCCCAATGCTTTCTCGCTTGAAGAGCACACGCCCCCCAAGTGCCGGAGACGATCAAGTAATAGAAACTAGGTTGGCCATGTCGTCTTTGCTTGTCCTACTTCTTCTTCTGCTTCGTCTTGCCTGCCGTGTCACTGTAACGCCAGATTCGCCTCGGACCTACAGATGCAAAGGCAAGGCTCGGGAGACGGTGGGAGGCAACAAACGTGGAAAATGCCCAGAGAATGGCGCGAAGCGGGACGAACGAACTTTTGACGAACAGGGGAAGGAGAAGATGTAATGAGAAGGGAAACAAAGTAAAATAAGAAGGAAGAGGGTATTTTGGTTAGTGCTGTATAACGCCATTCAGCGAAGGAATTGCGGAAGTTACAGAATTTTCTCTATTCACTCGTAATTCTAACAACAATGACCAAGAGCAACACGAAAACACTAATTACAGAGCCGCCGACTTGGCTTTCCCATGCATATCCGTATTATTGGATGTCCTCTTTTTCTTTCCAACATCCACGGTAACACCGGGTGGGATTTCCACCAAGAGCTTGGTCCACTCCGGCCGGTACTGCCACTGCTTGCTTGCTTGTTTTTTTTGTAATTCTTCATGCTTGTGAAAGTTGACAGTTACAGCCAAGACATGAAACCTACAGATGTACAGTATTGAAGTACCTAACATGCAGTTGCCGCTTCACTTTGAGGTTCCTCTGGATCCATCCAACATCGGGACATGAACCCAAAAACCACAACAACAGCGAGGCCATTATTATCAGGGGAGCGGCGATCTTGCGTGCCATTGTGACGCACCCGAGCCCCGTTTGCGGGCCGGCAAAGGCAACGGGGGAGAGGAGGGGCGAAAAAGGATCCTGGGGCCGGTCTCGAGGTCTAGACATCGATATCTGATGGACACAACACACACGCAAAGAGAGAAAGGCCCAGAATTTCTAATTCCAGTTTGGACCTTGAAAGAAGGTGTGGCGATGGTAGAGAGATTACCACTACCACTACCCACAGATGGCAAGAAACGTCGTCCGATGTCGCGGATCAGCGAATCGATTTTCCTCCTGGAGAGGACGCACATCTCGAAGGGTGGAGAGAGGGGAGAGGTGTGACTTCTGATATGAATGGGATGCCCACAGATGCGCAAGCAAGAGTCGTCCGCGTCAGAGACCGAGAATCTCTCACCATCTTCAGCGAAGCTTAGGTAGATCTCGACAAAAGTCACGCTTTGCTGCAGTCGCCGCCCAGATTTCAGAGGTGGGAAAGGGAAAGAAGGGTTCAAGAGGCCAGACCACCACCCCTTCTTTTCCAACTTCATCTCATTGGGTCGAAGCAAGTAGAGCATCGCCGGGTAGGGTTGCATACATGGACATCTCTTTCTCTGTCTCTACTTCTCTTTGGCAAGCATCGAGACACGACCCAGCTCTTTTTCGCAGCAAAGTCGGAGACTGGGAAAGTCTATCCAAGCGAGAAACGTCCGAGGGGTAAACAAAAGAACCTCATCACCTTTAGCCTGCGTGATAAGTTGACGCCGTCCGAATTTCGTAAAAAATAGCCTCCTGACAGGTAACCTGACAGGAAGACCCGGAAAAAGGGTCCTGTGGCATGCTTGCTCATGGAGGTAGGTACCTGTCTTTACTGCGTATCACAAGTAGACGTCTGCGTAGCCATAGCTTTCAACAACAAGCACAACCAAATGCCCACTACACCCGAGCGTACATGATGTGCGTCCCATTCCCCCTCGCGCGCCACACCCCTGTGCCGATGCGGGCCTGCGGCAGCCGGGCTGGGAACTTTTGTGGAAGCCAAGCGGGGGGTCGTGGCCGCACCACCACACACACACACACACACACTTCTCGCAGCAAGAAGAACCACCCCCGCATGGTCCTGGTTCCTACTTCTCCATCGGATCCAGATCAGGCAAAGAGCTCGAGGACTTGGGGTGTGTGGGGGCAGAGAGGTTTACTGCAGTCTGCGTAGTTCGGGGAAAGGCTGGCCTCTCTAGTGTACTGCGTAGCAACTTCACACTTCAGGTTTCCTGCGACTGACGTATCTCTCTCTCTCTCTCTCCCTCTCTCTCTCACACACACACACACAAGCTGTTGACCAAGGTAAAGAAGGCGCATCGAAGCGGGATGAGAGGTGATTAGGCAGGGTACGGCCGCCGGCAGAGAGGCGTTCGAATTCCTCGCATGCGGTTCCTGGAAAAGAGGGAACGCAAGGCACACACTATTTGTCCACACGTACAACACACCTACCTCGGGCATACTGCCGCAGTGAACCTCTGGGGGCCCAGCCACGATCTTCAATTTCGAGGACGTGTGAAACGCCACATGATGAGACCTGGCAAGGAGTGACCCGTGGTGTGAACAACAACAGCACATTGCCTCGAAAAGCGAAAGAGCAGGAAAGGAAGCGAGGAGAACCATGGGCCCCCGTCCACTCCCGATGAGATCCTGCCCCCTCTAATCTCGAACGAAGCGAAAGCCGCGGTCGGCAAACCGCCAAGAAAAGGGACTCGAGATAGCGTGCCGGCTAGCCCTTTGACGTCGACATCGTCCATAGAAACGACCGTGAGGCTAACTCGTCCATGCCGGCGATGTGAAGGCGAGTTAAATGCGGGGAAAACAACGGTCAACGAACCCGCATCAAGGGCCTCGTCCGCAGGCGGCAGAAACCACCCCCTTCCCTCGGCCTTACATTGATACATGCAAATCGCCTAACGGTCGAAGATGCTTGAATGCCAAAAAGCCGCCTTGCCGCCCCCGCTGATCTGGTTGCTCTCCGTGTATCCTTGTGGAGGAAATGGTCGTTTGGCACGCGTGACATTGGCATTAGCAAATTCAAAGTCCATCTTTAGTCATGGCGTCCTGTCAACGACCTCTCTGTCGGTAATCGTGCAAGACTAGCTTGATGCTGGGGCAAGAGAAAGCAATGGCCACGGAATGCCACCCCGATCCAGTTTGCGGGGAAAGAAAGTTGCACGAGACGAACTGAAGGGCACGCGACGAGCTTAACTTGTCTTGACTGTTTGGCCCAGACCCCCGATCTCCAGAGTCCCGCCTGGTGAACCCTTGGAAAAAGAGAGAGAGAGAGACATATACGGATCCCTAGACATGTGAGCGAGCGGCGGTAAGACGATCCTTCTCATGTGTTAGTACGTAAGGAGACAGTGTGCAGTCAACTCAACCCCCCCGCCGGAGCATAGTCGCCTCTACGATTAATGGGCTTTACAGTCTCTCGGCTACTTGTTAGGCAGCCTACTATCTTTCAGAAGTGTAACAATAGCCTGGTGTATGTTTCCTTGGGCCGAGTGATCAATAAGCGCGAAACAGCCTGATGTACGCTCACAAGGTTGCCGTGGCTCAGCAGATGTCGTTCTCTTTTGCAAAGGAACCGATAGTCCAGAACCATAGATAGACTAGGCATCAAACGACAGACGAGGCTGCGGCTGCGTAATCGTAATTGTGCCGTTCGTCGTTACGAGCGGGCCACTGCATCAGGACCGATTAGTATAGACTAAAATAAAGGCCTGATGATTGCCACCAGTGGGCTCGAATCGGATACCCGACATATCGGCCTGAAGAAGAGTCAGGCTATTGCCTTCCGAGCCCTCCACAACTTTTCCTACCGATCGAGTTGCAAACAATGGAGGTCGAACGACGGTATTCTCATTATGAAGTCTACTCCACCCCATGGTCTCTGATGGATGCTATTGGAGGCGGTCGTTGGCGCTTGTCATTCGCTAGTCCCAGGGACCACGCTTGTCTCTGTTAAGATGATGATTGCAACGTTGCAGCGCCAATAAGATAGCGGCAAATCGTGCAAGGTCCGAGGCGTGAGGCGAGCCGATTCGACGAGAGGTGATGAGCAGACACCGATGGGGGATGATCATGACATCTAGACACTGAGAGACCGTATAGAGAGCGAGGAAGAAGGGGGACGCGGGGACTGGCTCGAGCGTAGGGAATCTAGGTTTGCTAAAATCTTTTCCATGTTTCCTTCTTTTTCGCAGCTGTACGCTACATAAACATATCCATGCCTTGAAAGAGCCCCGAGGATAATACCAGGGGTAAACCCGACATTGACTGGGGCCCGCTGGACGCACCGGACATCGAAGTGACCTTGCCAAACAGCCGCCGTTGTCAGTGCTGAAGCAAATTTCCGAGCAGGGATCGCGGCAGGCGCTTTAGCTCATGCCAGAACCAGTCGGTGGAAAAAGTCTGGCAAGATTTCGATGCTCAAGAGGAGAGAAAAGCAATTGGCGGCGACAGACAAGGATTGATATTAAGCAGGGATTCTTGAGCCAGAGCCAGCTGGCAGACCACCCATTTTCCCACAACAGCGGCGGCGCGGGATGATGAATCGGTATGGGCATGTCATCATCAGAAAGCCAGACTCGCGCTGTTGTCGAACGGGTACGATGACGTCCTGGGTGCTCTTTGGAGCAGGAACGGTTGAGTGATGCATGGCCGTCTGCACAATGATCTGATCAAGCCTTAAAGAAGAGTGATGGAGGTACGTGGTGTATGCGTCTTCATCCTGCACCACCAGACCTTTCATGGAGCCCTGACAAGCGTGATAATGTCAGTCTTAATAGAAATGGAGAGAGAATGATCAGTCCCAGGCGGAGATGGTTGGGGGTCACCCCTCTACGGAGTACTGTCACCTTCACCGGCCGGCCTAGCGTGGAATCGAGGGGCAGGTTCTAGGGTTTTGATGAAGTGGCGGTGGGCTCACTCTCACTTGAGAACCAGCGACAACAGCGTGCGGTGTACATAGAGTCCAGAGTTCATAGTCTACTCCGTAGAGAGGCCTTCCAGACCCTGACCCTGCCACCCAGTAGACGGCTTTGATTTGGGCACAAATTGTCAAACCGCCAGTGTCGACAAACCGCACCATGTTGTTCCGGTGCCATACGGAAGAGAAGTCTACCCATGGCCGCCAACCTAGACGTCGTCTACAAAACCGGCATGATGTGTGTGTGAGTGTCTCGGGAGATGGTGTTGGCGGTCGTAACAACTCGCATCCAATCACAATGATCGAGCCTGATAGAGTTAAGCCGGCATCAGAGGCGCTGGAGGAGTGATGGTTGGGTAGAAGTTGACCATGTAGGAGGAACGGTTCTCTGCACGAGCGAACGACGGCGCCCACAGCACTACTTGATCGCTAGGTAGAGCAACGCCAACCAATCGTTGATCAAATAGATACGGGGACAAGCCACACGTCCCGAGACCGAAGATTGGGGGTGGGGGACACATTGAGCGAAAAGGAAGCAGATGACGGCAGCGAGGCGGGCTTGAACAGGATCCTTCTTTCAACTGGGTACCTATGGTTGGCTGCCTTTGGCCGGAGCAGTTCGCGCGTTGCGGTGAACGAACGAACGAACGAACGGTTTAACGGTTGACGGATGACGGATGACGGGAGGCGCACACTTGGAGACGGCAAAGTCGAATTTAACTCGCCGACGGGGGGATGAGCCGGTCACCACGCTAACGGCTGGCTTGAGGACTTTTTGCATCGAGTGAGGCTTAGACCACCCCCCTGACTTTGAAATGGCGTTTGGAGAGCTTCTCTGCATGCTTCCTCGGTCCTTCTAGCGCTCCGAACTGCATCCCTCGTGCTAGGCGGAAAGTGTAACATTGCTCTGTTCAAACTGTTCTTGATTAGGGTTGGTGCTATCCGTACCTGCGACTGCCAGAGGCTGCTTCTCTGAGTTCAGAGTGCAGCAGGAGAGGAAGCTGGCGAACGTCTCCCGACGACGTCGCCATCTTGGGTGACATCAAGAAGAAGCCAAACCATGTGCGATGGTCCTCTGCTCTCTGGATACGATATCAGAGATACGGAAGATGAAGTGGTCCAAGTTTGAACTTCCCTTCTAGGCATCGTCCGCGCTTTTGCTGCACCGTCTCGTCATCGGCGTGGGTTGGGACCATGTAGTAATGACATGTCTCACGATGATTGTTGAATGCACGTCAACCAGACTCCTGGACGCGCTTCTCCCGACATCCCGTCTCGCACAGCCCCAGCCTTGCGGTAGTTGAGCAAGCGGGAGTCAGAACGGCAATGCAAAACCATGGGGGGTGGTCTTCTCATTGTCCTTTCTGAGAAGGAGACTCTTTGCCAACCTGCTGTTCTTGGAACTTGTTTGTGAAGCCAATATTCTGTGCATGGGCACTTTGAAGTGCTCAGTATCCATACCCGTAGAGCAGACTCAGTCTCAGCTCTCAGGGGCGAGCTGCAGCAGGCATCGTCATGAATCGCGGGCTGCAGCTTCGCGGAGGGTCGTGAATATGTCTTTCTTGGCTTCAATAATTTGCTGCTCTGCAAAGGCTTCTCTCGAGTCACTCAGGTTGCGTTGGGGGCTTCCTCTAGCCAAGTTTAAGCGTGGCTGAAGCCGTATTCTGCCAATTCTCCGGGTCCTGTAAACGACTATGTGCCAGATCAGATCAACTTGGGCAAAACCCTTTATTTTACCCTTCGGGGCCCAGGGACAAGGGCTAATGGGATTCAAGGCCTAGAGTGCTGATCAATCTCGGTGGTTAGGGGTCGCAGGGACGCAGGAGGTGTCGGTCGGGTCCGAAGTGGGCTCTGAGGACAACCTCGGAGC